CTGCCAAGGGGTCGGATGTACGCCCTGGCGTCCCTTGGGTCTCTGCCTCTTTTGCGTGGCAGGCGTGGCACAATGTGCACTGCCAAGGGGTCGGATGTACGCCTTGGCGTCCCTTGGGTCTCCGCCTCTTTTGCGTGGCAGGCGTGGGACAATGTGCACTGCCAAGGGGTCGGATGTACGCCCTGGCGTCCCTTGGGTCTCCGCCTCGTTTGCGTGGCAGGCGTGGCACAATGTGCACCGCCAAGGGGTCGGATGTACGCCCTGGCGTCCCTTGGGTCTCCGCCTCGTTTGCGTGGCAGGCGTGGGACAATGTGCACCGCCAAGGGGTCGGATGTACGCCCTGGCGTCCCTCGGGTCTCCGCCTCTTTTGCGTGGCAGGCGTGGGACAATGTGCAGTGCCAAGGGGTCGGATGTATGGCACAATGTGCACTGCCAAGGGGTCGGATGTACGCCCTGGCGTCCCTTGGGTCTCCGCCTCTTTTGCGTGGCAGGCATGGCACAATGTGCACCGCCAAGGGGTCGGATGTACGCCCTGGTGTCCCTTGGGTCTCCGCCTCTTTTGCGTGGCAGGCGTGGGACAATGTGCACTGCCAAGGGGTCGGATGTACGCCCTGGCGTCCCTTGGGTCTCCGCCTCTTTTGCGTGGCAGGCGTGGCACAATGTGCACTGCCAAGGGGTCGGATGTACGCCCTGGCGTCCCTTGGGTCTCCGCCTCTTTTGCGTGACTCACTCGCACACACTCACACACTCACGCACTCACTCACTCACTCACTCACTCACTCACTGACTCACTCACTCACTCACTCACTCACATCACTCACACACACCACACTCACATCACTCACCCACACTCTCACTCACTCACCTGTACATGCACATACATACACACACACCCTCCCCACCATCACCCCTCCATCACCCCTCATCACTCACCCACCATCACCCCTCCACCACTCTTATCCTTCCTCTTCCCTTCTTGCTTTTCTATGGTCAGTCTAAGTCTAGAGAAGTTGATAACATGTGGGGTTATCCGGTCTTATAATTTTTGTGTCATGTCAGTCAGTCATGTCTCTATGTTCACTTATTATCCAATATCAATTAATGTGGGTAAAACAATCATAAACCCCCGGTCATGACCATAAAGTTATAGGTGGACATAGGTGGTACATGTAAAAACCAGCCCCGTTTATGGATGGTTTATGACATTGTTTTACCCACATTATACTGGTTACATCCTGTCCCAAACTTCGACCATTTTCAACGACAGGGCTCAGAGGGCGGACACTCAGAGACGCCCTCTACGCGCTCAGCGTCCCGAGCGGAGGAGGGCTTCAAGTGAGCCTCGGCTGCGGTCCGAAATGCTGCGGTCTTTTTTGGTGGAATATGTAGGATTTTTTTTTGTTATTTATTGTATTTTATTGTTAGATATTGTTGGTTAAAGGTGCTTGTTGTTCCTGGAAACATATTTTTTGGCGCAGTTTACAAAGTCAATTGTGCTGTTTTTGTATGATTTATATGTGGGGATCAATCCTAAATATCCCGTAGAAAATCCGCCCGCACCGAAGGTGCTGGGGCGTGATCTTCCGGATGGCACTCGTAAAAGGTTACAGGTTTACCTGGGGGGGGGCATTTTTCGGCCAAAACCTCCTGTTTTTGATAGGTCGTGACGCTCGCCTTCAAAAAACACTGTAAAAAACAGTACGGAAGACACCTGTTCGTGAACGCGCCCGTCCAAAATCGGCAAGCGAAAAGTGAAAAAAAAAAACGTGTTTTTCAACTTTTTGACCTCAATTTTTTGGTTTGCAACATCTTTTTTTGCGGTTCCGCAGGTGGCCGGGCCCGGAGGCGGATTTTTGAGTTTTTGGACCCGTTTTCGGACTGATTTTCGTCGTTTTGTGATAGCAGAAACACTGGTTTTTACAGTGTTTTTCTGTTTTCTGCATGCTTGACGGCTAGCTTCAAAACTTCCAAAAACCTCGTAAATTACGCTGTTTTATGTTACGGTGTGAATGAAAACATCGTAAATACCAGTGTTTTTTGACGTTGGTTAAAAAAACACTATAAATTACAGTGTTTTTGGCCACCTGACCCTCAAAAACCATGGTATTTGCAGTGGTTTCTGCTTCTCACCGCGCAAAAACATTGTAAATAACAGCAATTTCGCCGTTTTTTCATGTTTTTCGTTATTTTTTGAACTGCGTTGGTCCGCTATACATGGCTATCAAATTCTTCGCGTTTTTTTTTTCGACAATCAGTACTTTCGGATGTTTTTGGTCTCAATGGCCGACATCATTGGCAGTTACGAGCGGCTGCCCAACGATGCGGTGCGGGCGGTTGCCGTCGCGAAGCGACGTGAATATTTTTTCCAGACATTGAGAGGTTCGACTTATTTCTGCAAGGTGAATAGAGGAGAGAAAAACAATACAGCAAGGTAAAAAACGAATTAATGAACCAATTGGCATGGCAGGCACCAGCCGACACCTAGAACGACCCCCGATGTCAAATCGGGATTCAAGCATCAAAAAGGGCCTGGTGGGTGCTTTTCATGTCGAGAGACTTCGTGCATGTCGAGCAGGACGACAGAACTTCCATGAACTTCCAATCCCGCAACATGCTATGCTGCTACGCCTTATCCTGGATGCCGGCATTCACCACATGACGCTTTGTGACGCATGTCCAAGACTCCTCCTGTCTAATTGATGGAGATCGAAGGGTTTGCCATCGACAAGCCGCAGATGGGATGGTTGTTGCTAGCAACCATGCGATTTGCCCATCAAAACAAGGGGGGATGAACACTCTGGTTTTAACGGTGGCGGCCAAAAAAAGAGGCATTTAACAATATTTAACATCATGTAACCTCCAAAAATCTATGAGATGAGAATGAAGATGAACTGATACAACCAAGTGAGTATGTGATGCCAGTTCATCTCAGTTGCCCTAAATTAGATAAATTGGATATTAACTTAGACATTCTCAGTTGGTGTCATTGGATTGGTTTAAGGGGGATTTCCTGTAAATTGTCCTGTGAACCAATCCAATGAATAGTGATTGGAGTCCTTTTGGCCCCCATTGGATAGTTTTTGGATAACTTATTAGTTATTGGAGTCCTGATTGAATAACTTACATTAGTTCACTTAGTTATTGCATAACTTATGATAGTTATTGGATAGTTAGTTAACTTAGTTAACTTGGTGATGATAAACCAATGTTGGTGTGATAAATTGTTGCCCTTTTTTTTTTCGGCGAATCGTCGACGTCCTGGGTCCCCCAAGAGATCCCAAGGGGCAGCGGCCTGAGGAAGCGGACACGGGACACGGAAGCGGTCACGGACCGAAGCCGCGAAGCCGGCGGCGCATGAAACCAGGGATGCTTAGTTCGGGGGTTCAGACTGACTGATATTTTTATTGGGGATTACTAGAACATGACATGGGGATTCATACTGACTGATATGTTTATTGTACCAGAATCCAGAATCCATGAACATATGAACGGAGAATCCCATGCTCAACCAGTTTTTGAACCGACACAAAAGGGGTTTGAAATGGTTTGAACACTGCTCACGTGTTATTTTTAAGAATTAGAGTACACTACGATACACTACTGAGGGCGAAGTTGCCAGAACAATGTCAAACGTACAGCTCGAGTAGATGAACGAGGAGTCTCACAAGTGAAAGGCACTGGCTCATCGCACCTGTACAGTCGAGTGTTTTCATGCATTGTTTGGCCGGTGCGAAAAGAGGTACATGTCATGTTTCCTCAGGAGCTGGAGAAATGGGATTTATCTGAGATGTTGTTGGTATATATGCATATATATATATATACATGTGTATGTATGTATGTATGTATATATATATATATGTATATATATATGTATATATATATATATATGTATGTATGTATGTATGTATGTATGTATGTATGTAATGTAATGTATGTATGTATGTATGTATGTATGTATGTATGTATGTATGTATGTATGTATGTATAAATATATATGTATATATATACATGTATGTATGATATATATATATATACGTTGGCTTGAGGGGCAAGCACAAGCTCAATCATGGCGCCCCTTGTTTGGTGCATTGGAATGATACGGTGATGACTCTTCCACATACCAATATGACCCAATTTTCAATGCAATCCCTACCGCATCCTTTACCTTGCGCAAAACATCATGATATGCTGATATTGTTATTTTTGGAACAAGCACACACTTCCATAAATCAGATGGCAAAACCCCAGTTGCACTCTTTGGAACAACTCCTTGGAACAACTCTTTGGGAGAATGTCGTACCATCGGATGTCCTGGTGTTCATGGTCTTTGTTGAAGTCCTGAATATGAATCGGCTGGAGCGAAGAGTGTTCAGTTGGTGAACGGATGAGTCTTTGGCGATTCAAATTTGGACAAATTATTTAGATGGATGTAACTCAAAGGTCGACTTTTTTAGATGGAGGAATACTTCACATCTCACGCTTAGAATTATATAAGATATTGACATTATTCGTATTTTAAATTAATGAGCAATTTTGATTTTTCCATACTCTATCTACTCCAGGATGATTTAGAACTCAATACCAGTTGTTGAGATCCAAACCTGCAGATTCACCGCTGTGGCCCAATTCCAAGCTCGGCAGATTGCAATTTGTATGCGCTGTAAAGCTCACATTGCTTTATCAAGCTACTAGTATAAAATGTGCTGCTTTGAATAAGAATATATACAGGAATCCCCAAATAGACAACTATATTTTCTAATTTGTTGTTCTAGGTTTGAGATGTCCTGGATGATATGTTTTCCTGATAATTAACAGGTGTTTCACGTTTCTGTTGCTGGATGTCCAAGTTGGACAGGGCTTCAATCGCTGCGATTCTCTTGAAAATGGCTTTGCCATGGTTTGTCCAAAAACGTGATGGGTCTATCCGATCTATCCCCCATGCCTGGATCCGAAATGCAGAATGTTCATGCACCACCAACCAGTCCCAGTCCCAAAACTCGGAACCAGCAGCAGCTTCTTGCGGAATGTGACTACTTTGCCATGCCGAGTTTGACACTCAGACCGCTCAGACCATGAAAAGACTAGCGAGGCATCACAGAGATCTGCGGTTCAGCGGTTCCGCGGGTATCAAATCTAACCAAGGCCCAGAATGTCTCAACATGTCTCAACCAACCCAAGCATAGACGGTTAAGATTCGCTCTTATTGGTGGTTGTTGGTGGTTTATAAGCTCTTAAGAAAGCCTCTATTGTTGGGGTCACCTGATTGCATTATCACCAACAATCAGTTATTGGTTGATCAAATCCGCAGCTCTTTCACAAAAAACCTTACTTGGAGCTTGTAGCTGTTTCATAACCATAGTTAGTTCATCCATTAATTGGGATAACCATGGGTCACGCCACAACACTATACAAAACTGAGATTTGCTAACATCTTAGTATATAGTTCGCAAGTTATAATTCATCAATCTATGGGATAATCCATGATGGAATTGAACCAGAGAGATGATGATCCATAATGATCCATAATAATCCATAATAATCCATAATAATCCACAATAATCCATAATATCCACATCCTAAGCAGTTACGGAATCACTCTAACCCACATAAGTCACTAAGCCATCAATGGCCCCAGAAAAACCCAGGCGCGCGGCCCCTGTTGCCGCTGCGCAGCCGCACGGCGCCGGCGGACTTGGGCACGCAGGCGCCGTTAGTCCTCAGTCAGAAGTCATGTGGGGCTTTCCATAGCCAAGTGGGATCCTCAAAATGGTTGGTTTATTTGCTGGAAAACCATGAAAACCCATCTACAAATGGAGAAAACCATGAACACCATCTATAAATGGATGAAATAGGCCCCCATGACTCAGGAAACCTCCATGTTTTTATTCCCATGGATATTTAATTTATGTGGATATAAGATGATATGGGCCCATCCATTTGGGCCAACCTTGGATGTGCATTTGACATTTAATCTATACCTAGGATAATCTTGAATATTTTGCATGATGTGGTTATAAACGAATTCAATGTGCCATGGATATATTGTTTTTGCGGTTGTATTACTTGTATATAGGTAAAATTGGAAAGTATATAGTTTCGTAGCTGTGTGGAAACGGAAATCAGGGGGGTGATTTGCAACGATTTAGTCCGATGGCGACATCGGACTTCCTCCTGAGCTCCGGCGGGTCACAATGCGACCCCGAATGGGGGCAGGAGCAGCAGTGGACAATGTGTTGACCCCTGGGAAGTATCCAGTGGTGGATCAACTCATCCACGGAATGGCACGCATCACCGTTGGTACACCATCCGCAAATGCAGGGCACAAACGGAAGATGCGGCGTTTGGCACCGCAGGACTTTGAGAAGCCGATCGCCGAGCAATTGCTAGTGGCGCACCTGGCACCACGGTGTTGGCACTGACCAGATCCTTCTGGTTCCAGATGCTGCAACCATGATGGGTGCCGGAAGCTTCGTTTTGGGATATGATATAGGTTTGTCATAGTTTATCTGAAAGTAGGGTGCCCCCATTGTCATGGTTGAGCATCAGTTTCCCCAATGAAAATGGCAATTTTATGGGCATCCGGCCAGTTTTTTTGGCTGGTTCAATCCACAATTTTCCAAAATTTTGCTGCTTGAGTCATCTTGAGCCCAAAAAAAAATGGCCAGTGATCCAGCATTTTGGTGTCTTCCCTTATTTTTGGCCACTAAAAATCCAGCATTTTGGTGGGATACGGCCGCAGGGCGATACCCTGAACGATGGCATGGAGCTGGCGCAGAGCATCATGGCGGCCTTCGTGGCATTGCCCGGCGCCCAGGGGCCCAGGGCGCCGCGCTTAGGAGGTAAACGTTGGAATAGGGGATTATCATGCAGGATGGGGCCGCAGTTTGTTAGCTAAGTTGGTGCAAATAACTACAATAACAAGTTGGTGTATGATGTTTAAAGCTATATTTAGATGGGGTTATAAACCAACTTATAACTGGGGGGGGGCCATCCTGTGGAAATACATGTAAATAATGCTGTCACTATAACTGAGAGATACTAAGAGTGGTTTAATATACAGTATAACTGGCTTAGAAAACCTCAAGTTATATTTTGCGGCTTAGTTGCAGGAGTTATTTTATTCCATCTAATTACAAAAGTCAAGGGCCAGAACTGTAGCGTATTCGTGGAACGACCCTGTTGATTGTTGATCTGGCTTCGCACATTGTATCCAATTGGAGTTCATTATCCTCCATCAACTGGGACGTTCCCATAGATTCCCATAGCGATCCCCAGCTACTATGGATCAGTTTTCCCAAATGATTCCCATTTGATTCTCTTTTGATTACCATATGATTCCCATATTGTTCCCATATTCTTCCCATGTTATTCCCATTTGATTCCCATGCTATTCCCATGTTATTACCATATTATTCCCATATTATTCCCATATGATTCTCATATTCTTCCGATAGTATTCCCATATTCGTCCCATATTATTCCCATATTATTCCCATATGATTCTCATCTTATTCCCGCATTATTCCCATATGATTGTCATATTCTTCCCATATTCTTCCCATGTTATTCCCATATGATTCGCATATTCCTCCCATAGTATTCCCATATGATTCCCATATTGTTCCCATATTCTTCCCATGTTATTCGCATATGATTCTCAGATTCTTCCCATATTATTCCCATATTATTCCCATTTTCTTCCCATGTTATTCCCATATGATTCTCATATTCCTCCCATAGTATTCCCATATGATTCCCATATTGTTCCCATATTCTTCCCATGTTATTCCCATATGATTCCCATGTTATTACCAGATGATTCTTATATTTTCCCATATTATTCCCATATTATTCCCATTTATTCCCATATTATTCCTATATTATTCCCATATGATTCTTATATTCTACCCATGTTATACCCATATGATTCTCATATTCTTTTCATATTTCCCTTTTTATTCCCATATGATTCTCATCTCCTTCCCATAGTATTCCCATATGATTGTCATATTCTTCCCATTTTCTTCCCATGTTATTCCCATATGATTCTCATATTCTTCCCATAGTATTCCCATATGATTCCCATGTTATTACCAGATGATTCTTATATTTTTCCTATATTATTCCCATTTTATTCCCATATGATTCCCATATCCTTCCCATATTCTTCCTATGTTATTCCCATATGATTCGCATATTCCTCCCAAAGTATTCCCATATGATTCCCATATTGTTCCCATATTCTTCCCATGTTATTCCCATATGATTCTCATTTTCTTCCCATAGTATTCCCATATTATTCCCATGTTATTCCCATGTTATTCCCATATGATTCTCATATTCCTCCCATAGTATTCCCATATGATTCCCATATTGTTCCCATATTCTTCCCATGCTATTCCCATATGATTCCCATGTTATTACCAGATGATTCTTATATTTTCCCATATTATTCCCATATTATTCCCATTTATTCCCATATTATTCCCATATTATTCCCATATGATTCTTATATTCTTCCCATGTTATACCCATATGATTCTCATTTTCTTTCCATATGATTGTCATATTCTTCCCATATTCTTCCCATGTTATTCCCATATGATTCTCATATTCCTCCCATAGTATTCCCATATGATTCTCATATTGTTCCCATATTCTTCCCATGTTATTCCCATATGATTCCCATGTTATTACCAGATGATTCTTATATTTTCCCATATTATTCCCATATTATTCCCATTTATTCCCATATTATTCCTATATTATTCCCATATGATTCTTATATTCTACCCATGTTATACCCATATGATTCTCATATTCTTCCATATTCTTCCGATAGTATTCCCATATTCGTCCCATATTATTCCCATATGATTCTCATCTTATTCCCACAGATCCTCAGCGAGGCTCCTGCTGGGATTCATGGTCGCCGCCTGGACGCACAGGCCGACGACCCCTAGGTTTCCCTTATGGGGGAGTACTGGAGAGGAACCTGGTTTCCTTTTTTTAATGGATTAAGGAAATTATATATATATACATATAATTATGTGTATATATATATATATTTATATATATATATATATATCCATGGGATTAAGAAACATATATTATTCCAAAAGTATATATCCATCATTTTCCCATAAGTTATCCCATTGCAGGATTAAAAAACATAAATAGTTTACTATAGACTATAGTTTACTATTAAAGGGGTAGCATTTATGGAACTCACTATTTTGAGGACTCCAAAATAACCTTGAGTTTTATTCTGGTTTGACCTTAGTCTCGTGAGGTTTCCGTTCTTGTTGATTCTTTACGGGGCCAAAGTTGGCGGCTCAATGCTCATTGATCCGTGGGGATGACTGGGTCAAGTCACATAGGCTTGTCACATAGTTAGTCACTTCGCTGGTTGAACCTTCAGTTCATAGTGTATCCCCAGTCATTGGCAGTGTTTTCCTCATGATTTTCAGAAATCCAAGTTGGTACTGCTACTGTTTTGTTGTCCTTTAGTCCTTTTCCATGTTTTCTTTTTCGTCATTGCGGGTTATTTCCATGGTCTTCCGATACGTGGGAGACATGTATAGAAATGTCCGGTATACGTTGGTCATAGGCAGTCGGTGCACCACGTCACGGAAGACATTCTTCACAAGATGATTGACCTAGCACCAGCTCCTGGGAGAAAACGGCGCCCAGGATCCGTGAGTTTGAATGGAACTTAAGCTAACGGAATCTGGACTTATCCCCATCATGGCCATCATGGCTTAAAAAGACACCCAAGTCGAAAAAAATCTGAAAGGTTAGGGTTTGATGGTGACAGACCATTTCCAGTGAAGGGATGTGGACAACAGTTATCCAAGATACTGTGGATGGAAGAAATCCTGCACCAGCTGGTAACTATTGGTAGCTATTGGTAGCTATTGGTAACTATTGGTAACTATGAAACTCTGTCAGTGGTGGGGTTATAACGGGATAAACCTACCAATTGGTGGAGGATTTCGCAACCATCCACAGTACTGTATGTGTGACCAAAAGTGGCAGATGATAGTTGCCCTGACTGTGCAATTTGAATAAGAAACACTGGTTGGTGGTTTGGAACATTTGTTGTTTTCCATGATATATGGTATAATCCTTCCCATTGACTAATATTCTTCAAGATGGTTAAAACCACCAACGAGAACATGACAATTTTTAAACAATAGTCATTTTGGGGAACATGGGGTGAGGTGACTATGTTTTGGAGGTATGTTTTTTTCTTTTTCTACCGTAGAAATCTGCAGTATTGAATTGTTTTTTATGTTTGAGATGTTTGTCTTTGCCAAACCGCATCCATTTGGCTGGATCAAGTCAAACAGCATCCAGGTGGTTTCACTGCGAATCGCACTCCTAGAATGGACCAATGAGTTTCCAAAACAGGAAACAATGCCAAATGTAGTGCAATCATTGCGGTTTCTACAACTGGTTCATCTTGTCAATCTTGTCATTCATTTCTTCATAGGTCACATCCCCGGTGCATCCCCTTCAACCTCCATAGAATTCGCCAGATTGGGATGTTGGTGAAGGTGCCCGAAGTTATACCCTCTGGTCTCGTAAAACATGGCGTGCCACTGGGAAATCCCCGAACTAGCCGTGGAGTTTCTCATAGGAAGCTCATCAAACTAAATGAGGTACTTTCCGGTGTCATGGTTGACTACCGGAGGGTAAGTTAGTTTATCTCCCCATCGAACTACAGTTATGATTCAGTTATGATCACCATGAAGTCCATAGCTAATCCATACTGAATTAAAACCAATTTTGCGCTTCCGAAATGGGGCACTACCTTGCAACGTGGGAGTCAGTTGCCTCTTGCAGCTCGAAAATAGGTAGTTTATTCCAGCCAGTTGCACAGTACCACTCCCAACTTCCGGTTGTTTCATGGTTTCCTGGCCAATTCATCCCTTCTCCCTATATAATGTGCCATATTCCAACCCAGAAATGTTGGATGGGATCTATTCATGAAGAGGGCTCCCAAACATAGGGTCACGTCTTTTCCAAAGGGCTCAACCATTCTTGATGTGAAAAAACATCCATATCCAAGCCGATCATAGCAACCATTGATACCAAGATCATCCCGGCAAAATGATGTTTTGACCTCAGGCTGAAGCTGGTTTTCTCATCTTTGCTGCAACGGCTGCAGTGGCTTTGTCGCGAATTGGTGAAACAAACTTGGAACATGGATATATGAAGCATGGCTGAGTACCGAGGTACCCAAATTGCATGCTTCAAGGATCCTTAAGTTGTATAGCTGAATGTTTGAACCCATAAACTATATCACAACTTTGTTCATATGTGTACAATGAGTGTATTGAATAATTGATCAACCTAGCAGCAGAGTTGTTGCCTGATCCAGGTGTAGAAGTCAGCGGCAGCAGCAACAACAACAAAAAAATGGTTGGTGATTGGTGGTTTCAAACATGCTTTATTTTCCATAATATGTGAGATAATCCTTCCCATTGACGAACTCATATTTTTCAAGATGGTTATTGCACCACCAACCATAAAAACAACAACAGTCGCAGTACCCAATGGGGGTAAGTAGCCTGTAACCATCATACCTTGCTATACGTGCTCCATCAGTTGGTCAGTTTACGTTCCCATCTAATTTTTTCTGTTTCAGGAGTTTGATCATGTTGAATCCCCAAAAATCTGACAGTTCACCTACCATCTGGTAAACGTTTACATATAGCTAGTGAAAATGGCCATGGAAATAGTTGATTTACCCATTAAAAGTGGTGATTTTCCATAGTTATGTAAACGTCTACCAGAGGGTCGTGAAGTGTTTATAAACATGAGCGATTTAGCTCACCGCCGGAAGTCGACAGGCCAATGTCTTCTGCCTGCCTTCCATCGGCCTATGGCTGGGAGCCGGCGTCGGGGCGTCCCAAATGGCTGGCGTAATACTTTCGCCGAAAAATGCTGGAAAAAGATTACTACTGTGGGAATACTGGAAGCCACTAATTGTTGAGTTGATTTCGGGGCTGGATCTTGACATCTTTGGGCAGAGCAATCCCGCAGTATCATCTTGGATAATTTGCTGAGGTGGTAGTTTCCCTTTCGGATAAACATTCTCATCGGAAATGACAGTTGAGTAAATGGAGCCGCACCCACTTGACCCTGGCTCACTTGTCCCTAACCGACAGCATCTCAGTATATCGAATTTGACACGGATTTCGGCCACCAAGAAGAAAGGTTGCAGTAAACATGTTCTTAATCTGCAACATATGCCATTAAACCGGTCAAGTCTTGTAAGCTTGGCAACTCCGAAGCAATCCAAATTATTTGATGGGCAAGTCACCAGCCGAATAAGAGATTTAACCAGCGAAAATAGACATTTAACCAGCTAACATTAAGATTTGATCACAACAATTGCAAACATATTTCATGCAATCAACACGAATGAAGATCGTACTACCAAACATTACAGAATATGGAGGTTGCCTAAAATGGGGGTACCTCCCAAATCATCTAAATTCGACCATGACTTAGTATTGAACCCCATGGTGACTTGGGGATCGCCCATTTTAGCCACCAAAAAAAGTAACGAAAGGGTGGTGACCAACGAAAAAATATGAACATGTGACGCTCTCAGGTGGTCTTTGCACATATCTATCACCCCAACGTGCTGGAGGGTGCCCTTGCAGGTGTGGAGCCAATGCAGGGTTTCCTTCCAAGCCGTGGCCTTCCAACCGGGTGTAGTAACATCAAATGAATGGACTCTAATGGTCCAAGAAGTGCTAGTAAACCCCCCAAAAGGCTTCAGAAAAGCAAGACTTTGCCGGTAAGTCTTGAGACTGATTTACTTCATGTCTTCTTGGGGGTGCTATGTATACCCCAAAAGCATCTCTAGGTTGATCAGAAGTTTCTGAATGAATTAGAATGGTCATTTTGATCCACTTTGTATTTTTTGGTGCGCTCAATACTCCATCTTATTCAGAACAAAGACGGTTGAAGTTCCATTTTAGATTCAACCGTCAAACGTGAGGCTTTGCATTAAATCACTAAAATATCAACAATTCAATCTTCATCCCACTTCAGAATGTCCGTTAAATGTAGCAGTTCATCAATGGGAACATCCGTTCATTCAATTAAAGCGAATCATTCTAGAATCAGTTGATGCACTTCAAACATCACTCGAACCATGAAACATACAAAGAGCAGATGTCATCAATCCTCTTCACATAGGTCGGTGTGGTTAAGTCACCTTCGCCAGGCACGCTGGCGGTTTTCCTTGGCTTGGTGGTTGGAAGTCTCACTGCCTTCACGTTAGGCCGGAGCGTTGGCAGTGGATGGTGTCAGTGGTCCCTATGAATTCCATGGAAATTCCTATCTGATTGGTGGTTTGGATCTTTTTCGATTTTTCCAGAAATAGTTGCGAATTGAAAATCCTCCCAAGTGACTTTCACTCACTCCATCATTTTTCAGAAAAATAGGGCGAAAAACCACCAACCAGCTATGGATTGCTGAAACTATGGAGGTGAAAATTGGGAGCCCCATGGATGACCTGAAGTGACCTGAAGAGACCAAATCCGGCATTTTGGGACAGTGAAACCACCACAAGCATAGCTGTCATGTTGGGAGTTTCATTATGGGATGGATGACCTATGTTTTTCACCACGAATCACGACTCGTCTGACTATGGTACGACTATGGTACATATATGTAAAAATTGATCTAATTTGCACGAAATGAACAAAGTGACGATGTATACAAGGGCGGCTAACCCCATAGATGTTTTGCAGTGTGGGGAGTGAAGGAAACATTGGGGATCAACCTTTGTGGATTTTGGGGTACACCGTTTTCAGGCAAACAAAAATATGCATGTGGACATCCATGTTGAATATTTTGTTATATCTATATACATAGTATATCATAGTATCCAATCTAGAGCATAATGTATGCAAGGTGGTAGTGCACCCTAGTTATAACTTGGCTATACTTGGTTTAGAACCCCCATTGACTTGTTTAATATATCTACCTTAAACCATAGTTATTGGAGTTTTGTTCACCAACTTAGCTATCTACATCCCATTCCATCAAATGAAATATTATTGAATCTTCATTAAATAACTTCTTTTGCTGCTAAAATACCTAAGATTGACAAATTGATGTCATTAAATCGTTGAAAAAAAACGGGGAAATTCTCGCCATGCTCACAATGCAGGTCGGACGCTGTGCCAAAGTTGCATTGCTCGGAGGCCTTGGATCAGGGAATGGCTAGGGAATGTAGTAGCTTTGTTTAAGGATTATAGCAGATGTACCCTCTGGTAAACGTTTACATAGCTATTGAAAATGGCCATGGAAATAGTGGATTTATGTGGATTTACCCATTAAAAATGATGATTTTCCATATAGTTATATACGTTAGTTTACCAGGCCGGGTAATATGTATAAGAATTCCCATTGAATATCCAATGTGTTATCATCCCATTATCATCCCTATGATGATATACATATATATATACATATGTATCCCATGGGATGATACCCAATGGGTAGGTGGGTCATCATCCCATTATCATTCCAGTTCCGAAGTCTTCTTCGGAATGCAATGGGCATCCTTTGTACAAGCTGCCAGCTTTTCGCCATTGAGGAAGTTCTTGGCCAAGAGTATGTATGATTGAATTAACGGTGTATATACATATATATTATATCGGGTATAATGAGACACATGGGGACATAACCAACTTTATATAGGGATACAGTGAGGAAACGATGGGGATATCATGTGGAGAAATCTTGTGGGATGCGTACAATAGAAATATCACATTTTGCATACTGTACATAAACAGACAAACCCGACAAACCCATTTGGGCTAGGCATGAGTTTGTCTCTTCCAATAGGGGATGCCCCAAAATAGCCAAAAGCCCCAAAAGCCGTGCCTTTGCGGTGTAACTTGATCATCAACAATTTTGAGATTTCAAAAAATTGGAGACAACCTCCGCACCTTGTAGAACTGTGAGCAGTGCTCAACTGTTGATTTCTTATAACTTACAACCATGACACTGGGGATATATACACAGTAGTTTATTGGATTTTTTGTGGATTTTCATGGGAATTTCATGGATTTTCATGGATTTTTTCATGGTGATTTTTCATGGGATTTACCACCGGGTAAACAACGTGGCAAGCTGGGAAATCTCCAACAAATGCCATCTTATAGCTGGGAATATCATTGAACTAAATGGAGGATTTTCTAGCACACCAGGTTTCATTACTGGAGGCTAGTTGAGATATGATGCTTGATCAACATATTTGGGGGTTCTTGACCTACCCTCTGGTAAACATACGAAACACTATGGAAAATCACATTTTTTTAATGAGTAAATCAACTACAAGATGGCCATTTTGCTGTTTTTTTGCTGTCGCATTGCCCGTCATTTGGAAGTTGTGCCCGTCAGTTAGAAGTTGTGCACGTCAGTTAGAAGTTGTGCCCGTCAGTTAGAAGTTGTGCACGTCAGTTAGAAGTTGTGCACGTCAGTTAGAAGTTGCGCGCGAAGAATAGTGTGATTTTCTTGGAGAACCGGGTGGGGTGGGGGACGGGGGCGGGGGGGGGGCAAGGGGTACGCTGTAATATGTCTCTGGTCACTTGCCACATGCTCTTGATGCTACGCTGTAACATGTCTCTGGTCACTTGTCACACGTTTTTGATGCTATGCTGCGATGCTGTAACATGTCTCTGGTCACTTGCCACACGCTCATGATGCTACGCTGCAACATGTCTCTGGTCACTTGCGACACGCTTTTGATGCTACGCTGCAACATGTCTCTGGTCACTTGTCACACGCTTTTGATGCTACTGTACGCTGTAACATGTCTCTTGTCTTTCTATTTTCAGGTGCGTAAAGTAAGGCGTGTAATGTTGACATTTGAGAGTTGACAGTTTCACATCAATTTGCTCACCGAACATCGAACCCATGAAATTTCTACCGCGAACACCCTGGGTTCCCAATATAGAGGCTGTTATCATGTTTGGATCGTACACCACTCATCTCATAGTTTCTTTTGTTTGTTCATTGGATTGAAACACACCTGACACATGATGGTTTATCACGATGCAACTGAAGCGCTTTGTGCCCTTCTCCGTCCATAGCAAAGACAAGGTTACCAAAAAGGATTCTCAAAGAATCCAACATTTTGTGGTCCTTCGCCTGTCGTTGGAGCCACAAGGCAGGCTTGAAAGGAAGTCTCGCCAAACTGGCAGCTAAGGTTAACAAACGCAGACGCTGAACCCATGAAGAGAGAAAAAGAAGAGGACGAAACGCCGTCTTTCATTCCGTTTTCCAAATCCACATTTGCAAATTATTTAGTCCAATAGAATTCAATGATCAATGCATAAATTCCTAGCGTAATGTGGGACGAAAACACCATTTATACTTGAAGGCAAAACAATAAAATCGTCAGCAAATCAATGAAGAATGGTTGAAATCAAAATCATTGAAAACACCGGGTCCGCTATCAGCGCCGGTACCTTGTTTACTGGAGGGTACATGTTTTATTGGTGATGTTTACAACCCAGGTTGATACCGGGATACCTATCAACCAGCCAGCAGCTCCAAGAATCTCTAGCCTCATAGAGCTACAGCAAATCATGAAGTGTAGTAATACTCCAAGATGGCGCCCCAGAGTTGTAAGTTAGTTTATAACCCCATCTAAATATGATACAATATAATAAAATGAAATATAATATAATCTAACATAATAAAATATAAGATAATATATTATAATTATAATATATCATGATTTCATAAAACATAATAGTATATATATATATATATTTATTGAATTTATATAGTTTAATATAATATATGAAATAATTCAATCTACTTGTCACAATAATAAACCTGAGTTAAGCTTGTTATAAACCAATTTCACTAATGAACTGCGGCAGCGACGACTGTTCTTGGAGCTTTGGGGCACGGAAACCCTCCATGATTCATTTGTTTGGGGCTACCTTGGTGTTCAGCATACCCTTTGGTAATCGAACATGGCTAGCCAAGAAATTTCTGAACTAAATGAAGGTTTTGCTGGGAAAATCATTTGTAAATGGGGTCTTTTCCATGGCAAGCTGTAACAACATTCCTTTCTCGCCATGAATTTTCCCAGTAATTACCGATAACTTGGATGATAACTTGGGGTGAATCTTGGAACCATTTATTGATGGTATCGCACTATGTCCCATTCTGAAAGTTATGTCACATCATGTTTTGATCATTACAGATTGATGATTTAATCGTTATTCAACTCATGTTTTCCGTTGACAAACCAACATATATACTCATATAGCATATACTATATGTGTTATATTCCAATGATATTCTGATGTTCCCATGATATTCAATGATACTCCAAGATGTGTCCCATACCTTTGTACCAGGTTACAGCATCTCGAGTGGGTTGAGGCAAAGTGCGGCTGTGGTTACCATGGTGGTAAGCGACAAAAAATGGGAGTTGGGATATAACTGATAAATCTAAACTATGGTTATATAGATATTATATATATAGTTTTTATATATACCAAATATTTTTTAAATGAATATAGAAATTGAAAATAAATATTGTTGTTTAACCCTATGGCTATTCTTATATGAATATACAGTATATGCTCAAAGATTTTTCTAACCGGAACAGCGCCCCCAAGTAGCTGTTGTTTGCGAATTCCCATGTCAACTATGTTGATGAATGCTGGATCCTTTCGGGCCTCGGACACATTGAAAAGTAAAAGTTGTGTGGCATGAAATTATCTTGACCCTCAATGTACCGATATAAATTGGTCCAAGTCATTGTTTGATGGTGAGTAACATATCCATTTTGACTGGGTTGTTGTTGAGCGTCTTGTCTCAAAACCATGAACAATATTTTTCGTTTTCCCATGGTTTCCTTTCCAAAATGTGTATTTGAAAAAAACAGACAACGTGTCACTCTACTGCAATCTACGAAAAACGGAAAAATTGCACTTTACCAGAAAATGTTAGGACAGTCTTTGTTTTTGTTGTTACCTGTTCCCCACCTGCCAGGTGAGGGTTGTTAGATTTTATGTCAGTTGCCTGCTCCTCTCCTCTCCTCCTCATCTCCTCCTCATCTCCTCCTCCTCTCCTCCTCCTCCTCGTCGTCCTCCTCCTCGTCCTCCTCGTCCAACTGCGACCCGCGATCCACAGTGTTCTCTGTCGGACCTCAACCACGACCATCCATGCTCAGTGTTCCCTGCCGGACCTCAACCACGACCATCCACGTCAGTGTGCCCTGCCGGACCTCAACCATGACCATCCACGCCCAGTGTTCCCTGCCGGACCTCAACCACGACCATCCACGCCCAGTGTTCCCTGCCGGACCTCAACCACGACCATCCACGCCCAGTGTTCCCTGCCGGACCTCAACCACGACCATCCACGCCCAGTGTTCCCTGCCGGACCTCAACCGCGAGTATCCACGCCAAAAGATATGCCACATAGAGTGCCAGAAGATATGCCAGATAGAATGTTAGAAGATATGCCAGATAGAATGCCAGAAGGTATGCCAGATAGAATGCCAGATAGAATGTCAGCTAGAATGCCAGAAGATATGCCAGATAAAGTGCCAGAATGTTTGCCAGATAGAATGCCAGCAGATTTGCCAGATAATATGCCAGAAGATATGCTAGATAGAATGCCAGATGGAATGCCAGAAGATTTGCCAGATAATATGCCAGAAGATATGCCAGATAGAATGCCAGATGGAATGCCAGAAGATATGCCAGAACATATGCCAGAAGATATGCCAGAAGATATGCCAGAACATCTGCCAGAAGATATGCCAGAACATCTGCCAGAAGATATGCCAGGTAGAATGCCAGAAGATATGCCAGATAGAATGCCAGATCGAATGCCAGAAAATATGTCAGATAGAATGCCAGAAGATTTGCCAGTAACAAAATGTATAAATGTCATGGTGGGGATCACACGAAGTAAAGTAATTTATGTTTTTTTGCTGGTGCCCATTGGTTATGTAAAATAGCGTTGGGAAATCACCAACTTTAACAGGTAAATATAGGTAACGCATCCATAAATGAACCATGTTCCATAGCAATCTTAAATTCCTGGAGGGTAATATAGTCAGTAAATCACCATCATAAATCAGTTTGACATCGCATCGAAATCTTTTAAATTCCCTTCAATAACATTCCATGAAATCCTCATGTTTCACATGAATCGCCATCGCAGGTGTTGAACGCCATTGTTGCGACCGAAGGCTCCGTGGCACGCAAAGTGGAGTTGTGGTAGTCATGGGAATATACTGTAATGGGAATATAATGTCGATACAATGGGAATATAATTGGAATATAATGATGGTACAATGGTGATTTATTTGTGATTTAATGAAGATATAATGATTGTGATGATTTAATCGGCTTATCAGTGGTACACCATGGTAATAGGATAGAATTGGAATGTACCCTCAAATGTTGTGATGCAATGATGATACACATAATGGTCATGTAATGGGAATATCATTGTAATATCATATTTATATACTTGGAATATACCCCGCAATGGTTTCAAAATGTTCAGAGATGTGGTTTGGTCCCTTTCAGGCATGGATACACCTGGATTTTCAACATGTAACAAAACAAGTGGAATACGCTAGCACTTACTTGAAGACCTGGAAAGGCGCATCTCCTGCTGACCGGCTTTTGGAGGCCTCAGCTTCAGCCGAGCATGTTTCGGCGACTTTTGGATTTGATGCGAAGCTTACAGTGAAGGCGAGGACCCGGCCTATCGACTTGCACCCCTATGACCCGAATGAGCGTGGTCAAGAAGACACATTTCTTGTCAAGGGGAAGCTGTACGTGCAGCGAGACGCGCGTGCATTGTGGCCAGAGTTCCTTGGTTTCTGCTGGCTATCACAATTCTTTCATGTTCATGCTCTAGGTTTTTGCGGCCGCAGAGTCTCCACCTGGCTCTCCTCCTCCACCAGGCTCCTCTCCCCCAGGTGCACCCATGAAGAAACCATCTTCCAAGGTTGACGCAAAGAGCAAAGCTAAGTTGACCAAGAAGAAGAAGACAAACACAGGCCAGGTCACTTTTATATGCGTTTCTTATGCGCTTCATTTTTTCAAAAAAATACTTGGCTATACTTGGCTAGTAAATAGATTTACTTTATTAGGCACAAGGCAAATTTTACTAGTAAACAATCCAAGTAAAGTAAATCATCAAAAAAACTAAAAAGCACTAGATTTCAAGACTCAGGGTGCTAATCATTCCCGAGTGTATGCTAACCCTCCCGGAGTGTATGCTAATTCTTCCCGAGTGTATGCTAATCCTCCCAGGGCGTGTGCTAACCCTCCCGGAGTGTATGCTAACCCTGCCTGAATGTATGCTAACCCTCCCAGGGTGTATGCCAACCCATCCAGAGGAAAAGTGTTCTTCGGTCCGCGACAACCCTACCACTCCGCCGCAGTTCCCTGAATTGTCCAGGTGACCGAAGCAGAATAGTCTCCAAGCAAATGTACTGGAAAGCAGTAGCAGATGCTGGTAGGCTTTGGCGTGTGTTTTCTTCAGCGCCAAAAAAAAGGTCATAAGCTATCTGACAGGTGCGGTTTGTTTCGTTGCTGACACGTGTGATAAGTAGGACAAATAACATGCGCATTCCTGCCAGTGATGTAAGATTCTGGCCAAATATGAGCGGGCTGAGGAATAGGCCATCAGGGTTTGCGAATGTTGTTGAAGTGGTGTTGTCGCAACTATTGCCCAATCCTAGTCGTGGTTCTCCTCTAACGAAGCATGGTTCCGTATTTTCTTGTCGTAGTTACAAGATCACACATTCTGCCGTGGTTCCGTACTCTCTCCTATAAGTTCCCTGTAACATCACCATTCACTCTCTTTGATTCACTTTTTCTGATTCAACCTCAATCATTACCCTGTCGTGACTCTTCTACGTGGTACCCCCTAGTTCAGATTGATGTTGGTTTCTACAAGTCCCATCAACCTGTTCGCTATATCTACCATACGCCATAATTATAGATATATCGTGAACATATATGTGTCACATATTTTGATATAATTATATACACATGCATATATATATATATATACGTATATAGGTATATACATGTATACATATTTACAGCATATGAATATATACATGTAATTATACATAAACCATATTTATATATACACATTTGTACATCTATACAGCTATTGTTACATATACATATACATATATAGAATGCTATACATTTTAAATATGCACAAACTTAGCTGCTAGACTTTATAGTCATATCAGTTTTAACATGTTATGAACCGTAGCTAACAAACTGGGATACCATTTGGCATGTGTGGCAAAAAAACTCAGAGGTTGGAAGTTCGTGATGCTTGCGCGCATGAGTCCTGTGCTTCCTCTGGAGGCGTGAAACCTGCTACCGGTTGGCAACCATTAAGTTACTACGAAACATTGCAAATAATTGGATTATAATGGACTTATAACGGGATGGTATTACAAAACACCATTGACTATATATAGTTATTTTGGCCATAAACCATAGTTATCGGCAGGGGCTATGAACCAACTTTGCTATCTAGGGGCCCCACATTGTAGGGGCAAAACCATGGTTTCCGGCTAAGATGTCCCTGAAACCCAATCATTGAATGATGAACTGCTGTGGGAGTATGTCATATCAGGGGGATGGGATATACTATCTGAACGTAGATTTCTTATTCTTGGCGGGCACTAACAAAAATAGTAGCAACTAATATATTTCGAGGTCGCATTACATGATCGTGTGCAACCTATTTAAGATATCGCCCCCCTCCGCAATAATTTGGATATAAGTTGGATACATAATATATAGTATATGAGTATATGATATATAGTCTACTCAACTCGGCTTGACATGAACAGCCTTGCTCCCTGAAGGTTGTTGGTCTCAGGCTTTGTGGGGAGCATGTTGACTGGGACACCTGCCAGTGATTCAACCTGGAAATGGTCATTGCAGCATTCATCTGGATGATTTGTACTGTTGGGGGGATCATCCCTAAGTTTCCAAACTTTTCAGGTTCGTGAATTATGACATGTTTTGCAGATTTAGAGATCATTGTCCTCTTGTATAGATGTGAGGATTTCTGGTGTTCCGCCAGCTTTGTTTACGTACAGAGTATACCCCTTGATAATCCAACATTGCCACACACATTTTCCACAACGGAAAGCGGGTGTTCCACTGCAAAGTTTCCCCCCTTCAACTCCTAACATCACTGCGGTGGAATGTCACCATCCAGCTGGGACTGGCTACAGCAATGGTGACTGATTTGCAAGAAATTGACTTGGTGACCATTCAGGAGACTCACTGGTCTTACACAAATGAGTGGATTCAGAACCGCTCCTTTGTGATTCACAGTGGAGGAGAACGGAACCAAGCAGGCTTGCTATGTTTGATCTCACTTCGGCTCTGTGCACAGCAGGATATCTCGTGGACTGTTTCTTTCTACTGGGTAGATTGGTTCACATCAGGATTCATGGCCGTATCAATGGCCATTCCAGGATCCTCACTTGGAGGTACCTACCGTATATAAGGCATATATAAGGCCTATGTAAGGGAATATCCCCAGAAATATGGCCTTATATGGTATAGTACCTCCATTTTAGGATCCTGAAATTCCCATGGATCTATCAACATGTTCGCTCTCACAACAGGATGTACCTGACCCTAACGAACTAGTTGTTTTATCACCAAGCCGTATAGGTCATAACCATTAATAAAACAACTCCATAGACCCAACAGTTGTATTTGAAATTCACCAACTTAGATAAACCTTCCTCACCGGGCACCATTTTGTACCACCCCCCGGCGAGCAGCACCGATCGTAGGCTTTTAGCTATGCTTGCAGCTTCACGAACGTGACCGCCCTGGGTTTTGCTGTGGGATGTGGGGTGCCCGGGTGAAGCCGCCGGAGTGCAGCAATGAGGCGTGAAGCGAAAGAGACGTTGAACGGGAATCTCTTTCCAAAAATGAGGTGCTGATAAAACATCCAACAATTTATGGCACTTCACCCGATCTTCAGATTGCAAATTTGGGTATACCCAATGTTTCCAAACACTGGGGGAGCTGTATGCAACGGACTGATTCGGAAAGGTGGCATGCAACCATTAAATGCAAAACCTCGACCCTAACTGGTTAACATTCCCCTTTTGTTGGGCCCCCAATGTAGCAGCGAAACTACTAAGCATTAGTTTATTCCACTTTTTCTGATTGCTTGTGTTTATTGGGAGAATATGGGAGAAGGGATGATCCAACATAGTGACTGGACTGTTGGTACTATTGCATATTAGCCCGTAATTATTACTCGTAGCCCTGAACTCTGCACAGTAAATAGTAGCTTCAAAATCCATAATAGGCATCAGAAATGGCGTTTGATGATACTAACCAAGCATGTTAACCAAGCTATTTGCAACCTCCATAGTTTTGCAATTTATATTATCATCATATGCCATTTTGATGGGTTATCTATGGTTGTCTCACCAGACTTGGCAGTTAGAATTTTCAATACATAGTTCATCATGTAGGCATTTCTCGAAGTTGCTGACCCACCCATAGCCCGCACATGTTTTCAGCATCTAATTCCGGAGAGCCAAATTCGATGGACATGGGTTTGTCTGAAAATAGGGCACCCCCAAATCCACCGATTACTTAGCAGTTTCATCCAGTTTCCTAATTCAAATGGCATTTCAGTGGGGGATATCCCCCACTGAAGCATCCAAATATCATGTCAAGTTGGGTATATATCCCATTAGTCCCACTATACCAGGCCCAAATTTCAAAGAGAAGCGCCATGCATGTTGCTTAAGTAGTAGACCTGAAACCTGGTTTCCTCAAGGAAGCGCTGATTTTTTACAGTTCAGTAGCCATATGTAGCCATTCTTGACATCCGTTTTGGCCCAGGCTTTGGCTCCTTGCCCATCACCTTTTTCTGGGCCTGACCCTGAGTCACAGGGCTTGATGGTGGTGTATGTGGCCACTGAAGTGGTGCCATTTTGTGCGGGTGAAGTCCCAATGTGGCCCATGTGTTGAATCATGTCTCTGGCTGCCAAAGCGATTGGGGTTTCTACGTTAAAAGTTCCTTCATCTTCCAGTTAGCTGCCAGATAGGTAACAAACATTAACAAACCCCAAAAAACATGTTGGTATTACCCAACTGTGCTCTACCTCAAAGGTATTGAAAGGAGAGGGACATGCAGGTGGATGATCCTCCGTTATTCCCCGAAGTGGTTTTTTGTTGCGAAAATCTGCAGGAGACCATTTTGTTTCTTGATGATAAACACCATGGTGACCAAAAGGTAATATCCCTATAAACATGAAGTTCATTTCTTACTTCGTCAAAAGTATCTATAAATATTTAGGTCATCAGAAAGTAAGCCAAGTTCAAGAGATTATGAGCTCCATTTATGGTCAGTGTCCTGGCCGCCTCCGAAAGCTCGTAGAGAGGATGGCGAGCTGTCGACCTTTTGGTTTTTGCAAGCCCCAAATTAAGATGCGGAAAAGTAACATTCAATTCCAACAACAGTGGTAACTGTCAGCTCTTCTGAATACCTTCGCTGGATATGTGAAATTACTCAAACATATGAACAACAATCAAGTTTGTTGGTGAATTGCGACGATAGGTGTAGGTAACGCCGAATTTTTGAGGCTAAAACCTGCCCAAAGGGTTTAGTGAAAGCCACTTGGCATCCTAAAGCCACCTGCGTTTGTTGTAGAATAGGATGCCCTGAGGTCATATGTTTTACGGTACCATAATCTTCGAAAGCAGGGTGTGCTTACCCCATGCTGATTCTTGCTTGGATACATACTTTTATATTCCATTGTATTCTCACATTTGTTGTTCTTTAAAACCCGTGAACTCCCCCAAATTAACATAGACCCTGAAAACCGCACATTTTTAGTAGAGACGAATCTTCCAACACCCGCCTCATGGCAGGGTGTGAATTTCGCAGGTCTGGATGGGCGCATCGGCAGAATCCCTGCGGATGGATGATGATCCTGGAAGCAAGAAATTGGGAGCTCGCGATCCCAGAGCATCCAGCAGCAGTTCTCATCCAGAGATCAGGTTTTTCATACGGTGGGATGTGGGCAACGAAATGCCATGAACCTACCAGTTGGAGATGGTTGGAGAACCACCCATAAAATTTGTGATATTTAGGGGGTGGTTTTTTGCTGGGGTTACCACATGAGTGATGAAGACTTAATAGGATAAGGATGGGGAAATGGGGATTGAATGGGAGATCATTTATGGAGCTTTATTTATCGTATCCTCATGTATCCTCAAATGGGGGATATGACAAGAATGGGGTTTAACTCACGAGGACAAACGCCAACCAAGAAGGTGGATTTGACAAAAAGTATCCCACAGTGGGGTTGCACTGTGCAACATATCAACGGAGCACTTACCAGGGGAAGGCTTTAGGTTTGGGTTCGGTTTAGGGTTTGTTTGGGGTTCGTTTGGGGTTTATCTATAGGGTTGCTTCATGGATTGTTTATTGAAAGGTTTGTTTAGGTTGGTTTCGGGTTTATTGGGGTTTTGAATTTGTTCCCCAAACAGTGTAGCTTAGCAACACTGAGAGGTTCTTACGATAACAGTTACAGGCCCGGTGTTTAATCGAGGTGGTATCCGTCACATTTGGCATTTTCCCTGTAAAATTCCATACAAAATGGCTCTTGCGAAATGTCCATGTGCATTTCGACTGCGCAGGCTCGCACAAAGCAATGTCCCCGAAGGTGTCCTCGGCCATTTTCCCTGTAATTTTACACAATGGCTCTTGCGAAATGCCCATGTGCATTTCGACTGCGCAGGCTCGCACATCATCATCACCATCATCATCATCATCACCACCATCACCATCATCATCACCACCATCATCATCATCACCATCATCATCATCACCATCATCATCATCACCACCAGCATCATCATCCGCAACATCACCATCATCACCATCATCATCATCATCATCATCAGCATCATCATCGTCATTATCAACATCAACAGTAACATCATCATCAACATTATAATACATTCTCCTTTGACTCCGCCCACACTGTTTGGGGTCTCTTGCCGGGATAACTTAGGGTTCATTGAGAGGTTGGCATTCGGAATATAGGATTTTAGGGTTCATTTAGCCTTGGTTCTGGGCTGGTTTAGGGTTGTTATTATGTTATTTAGTGTAGCGTATAGGGCACCGTAAAAACAGGGATCGGCCTAAGGGCACATGGGTGTTTGCACGCCTACGGACCCCAATCCCAAACAAACTGGAAAACAGGATCCCCCAATTCCAGTTGATTGTTGAAATGTGTTCACATATTTTCCTTAAAGTGGCAGTTCAGGTGGTCAATACCTTGTTCAAACAAATTCGATCACCGAAGTGGTAGGCAGAAGTGATTTCTCATTTTTTTGCAAATGAATTCATATTGGGATGTCTTGGGGAAAGATAGCTGGCAGTAACCAAAGATGGTAACTGGAAATCCCCATAAATGGAGTTTTTTAATGGGCAAATTATCTATAATCTATAATGTGGATTGTTCAATTGCCATGAGGGCACGCGGTTTTACGTGAACATTCTGCAACTTGAGGGGTGCAACTTTGGACGGCGATTTTTTTCCCGCCGAGGTACATACCACTTTGCTTCTCATAGGCGCGGCCGGTGTCGTTTCCAAAAATCGGGCCTGGGGCACCTGATGCCAACTCTACCTAGGTGAATAGATAGATCGAGAAATTGATAGTTCCACACAGGATGAGGCCCCATAGTTGGCGAAGTTGGTTTATAACATTTTATATATAACTATAATAACAATAGTGTATGATACTTATAGCTATATTTAGATTTAAACCAACAAACATGACTGGGGGTCCTGAACAGATGATTTTCCCATGACATTTTCCTATATCTTGGTGGGTTGGAGGTCTTGGATTCTCCAGTTTTTCCTGAAATCTCTGCCACGTGGCGCCGTGGCGCGCGCGAATTTCTGGCAGGCATAAGCCTCGTGATGTTTGGGATCATTGCGAGACTATCCACCAGAAGGTTCCGATTTGATACTGGAAGTTGTCGAATTTGCCAGCTAAAACAGACAACAGCAGACATCTCGTTAACCAAAAACTAGATTGTTTTCTGGAAAAATTTTTAGAGATATCACATAGTCAATAGTATTCAACGGTACATGTGTGTGAAAAAATACGTGTTTGCATTATTATGTGTTTCACGATTTGTCGTTTCACATTGAAAAACATTGAAAAATCACTCGTTTGGTGCAAATGTGAACATCACAATGTGGGTGTGTTTCAGGCCCAATGGTTGCCAATGGGGAATCTGAATCTGGCTTAACCTTGGATGGGTCAGTACTTTCGTATTTCTGATATAAATTAAGGGAATAATTGGGACATTTATATACATTTATATATAATATATTATATATAATATATAATTAATACATATATATGTATATATGTATATATATATATGTATATATATATATAGCCTCCACGTTTTGTTACATGCCATGGTGTATGCCATGGTTCTATTATTAGCAATGATTTGGCATCCATTGCTGCCCTATCGTCTCGGTCCACCCCGTTCCAATCCTCATTTTGCACCCTCACAACCTGCATTGTGTCATTGGTTTAAGGCGCAATCCTATAAAACTCGTTACCGTAGGCCCATCTTGATTTGCGGCCGGGATTGTCTGATGACCGAGATTTCCAAAGACTGTGTAACCCTGTGAGTGATTTCTGGTAAATCCATTTGTTCTCAAGGATTCTGCCTGGAAAAAGGTCTTCTTCGAACCCAGACCGAAAAGTGCCAGATGTATAATTAAACTGGAAACTGGACTGCTTAAGTCAAGAGTCTCTTACTCTTCTTGGGTTCTCATGTCTTCACCGTTCCATCCCGTGTTTTATCCTCATTTCTAGCCACTTTCCCACAGCTTTACCTGGGACATAGTCCTCACCGAGATCACCAGAACTATCATCTCCAAACAGTAGTGGTTTCTGTTCTCACCCGTAATCTTGCCAACATTTTTGTGTGTGCAGACTATATCTAGGATGTACGTATATACATATATTTATATATACATACATATATTTGTTATATCACCATGTGGCCAAGCTATAGTGTAATATATGACCCCATATATATATATATTGAAAAAGAGCACATTCCTACAGGACGCGGTACTGTATATACAACTAAGTATGTATATATATATATATATATATTATTAAATATATTACCTAGTTCTATATGGATTACTGTAACCGTTACAGCTACTGGTCGTTTTCTAAGTCATGGGTGACTCACGTCCAAGCCATTGGTCTGAAAAACACCGTTGTGCCTGTTGGGTAGAAAACCTCCATGAAGACTAGCAAGTATCATAAGTATCATAAGCCATAGTGAAATTGGAGTTACTGCATGATGTTCACCACCGACCAGCTATCATGGGCCCCATTGAAATTTCACATCTTTCATTAACTCCACCATTCAATCACCATGCTTGCTGCTAAAAATCACCATGTTTGCTGCTAGGTACCAGGAGATCATGGACCGTCGCATCCCATCGGTGGCGCAGCAGCGGCTCTCGGCCAGCCAGGCGTGCATCCCACAATAAAAACCTTCAGTTAGATTCATGGAATATCCTTTATTATGTGCAGGGGATCTCTGGGACTGAGATATTGATCATTGGGGATATCCGGGATATCAATATATATATATATATAGATATAGAATGATATAGAGCTACATCGCATTATTATACCTCTATCATCATGGGATATATGGGTTTTATAGGTTATATATGGGATTATATGGTTTGTCTGGAAATGAAGGATGCCTGGAAAGGTAGACCGAGATAGCTATGGAAAATAAAACGAAAGGCACTATTTCAATAGGTAAATCAACTATAAACGGGCAAGTTTCCAGTTCGCAAACTGTTAGTTTATCCAGAGGCGTATGGAATTGAATAGGTTGCTAACTATGATATAATATATATATATATATATCTCTCTATAACTATGGTTTATGGTCGATGTATCTATAGTTAACGGGTTTATAAACCAACTTATAGAGGGTTAGTTGGCTGTTCATATCGTTGACCAACACCCTGGTACCCGGATGGTACCGTACAAAAGCTGGTTTATGGAAGGTTATTCCCCCAGTCATATGGTAATTTTATGGGCTTTGGCCCATCCTCTATTGGGAAAGTGATGATGAACCTGTGGATTTGGTTTTGCAAAGACAAAATATATGTGATTTATATGTGATCATATGTGATGTATATCATTAAATAGCCCTGGGTTCTCCTAACAGGGCTACTCCTAAAAGTTGTTATCCTTTCAAAAAACTTAACAAATACAAAAAACAAAACAATTTTCAAAACATCAATCCAGCATAATCCGGCAATCTAAACAACAACTTTAAAAAAGAATCCAAACATTCCACGAAAAATCTAAAAGAACCTTTAAAAAAAATCCAAACATTCCACGAAAAATCTAAAAGAACATCAATGTATATATATATACAAAACATCAAAGTTAAAAGAAAACACAAACAGCTCCACAACAGTTCAAACAAAACAGTAAAAACACAAAACAAAAAAACAAAGAAAAAACTCAACAATCATCAAACAATATTTCAATATGTCTGTAAGATACTCTTAAAAATATTAACGGAGAATAACTATTTGGAATGAAAAACATATTTGGGATGACATTGAATTATTGTGAATTAAGGTTAATGAAAAGAAATGGTTTTTCGGAGTGTCCCTACAAGGAATATCCCCCATAGACAAGAGTATATGTGAATTGTACATAGTGACACAGTGATACTGGGTAAGTCTGTGAGGCCCCGAAGATAGCTAAGTTGGTTTATAACTCCAATAACTATGGTTTATGGTACTTATAACTATAGCTACTGGGGCTTATAAACCAACTTATAACTGGGGGGCCTCACATTGTAGAACTGTGGGATGTTGCTGGATTGTTTGTGGATGTTGATCCTTGGGGCGAAGAATCTTCGCCAACTGAGATAAATGGGCCACTAACCCCGGCCCTTCCTGTATGGCTTAGAATGTGCTGAGACGTTAGCAAACTCGATCGGGATCGCTACGAAAGGAAACTGCAAATATAATATCCATATATATATATATATGCAATCATAGCTATGCTGCGTAAAGAAGATTATTGATACATGTTTACCTGACAATTCCCGCGTGTCCGACCTTGCTGATGTTTTGTGGGTCGCTAGAGAGGTATGCATTACTAGTTGATCATTGTTTGACCAAAACTTTAAAACTGGATTATTCATTTGCTTTCCTACTAATAATTTCCTGAAGTTACAGTTACAGATCCATCCATGTGTTTCATGATATGGGGGTGTCCTGAAATAGGGGAACCCCCAAATCATCCATTTATAGATGGGAATTTCCCTTATAAACCATCCTTGGGTACCTCCATTTTAGGAAACCTCCATATATTCACCTTGGCGAAATTTCGCGGAGTCTACTGATTGGTGCCCCATGTTTGGGCATAGCGGCTGGTGCACCATGTTTGGGCATAGCGGCTGGTGCATCCAACTCAGTTGGATGAAACCAGTTGGATGGTTACCCGGCCTGGTAAACATACAGAAAGCTATTGAAAATGGTCCATTTATAGATGGTTTACCTATGAAAAAAAGGTGATTTTCCATAGTTATGTTGGTTTACCAGAGGGTATTTAGTTTTATGATTTACTGGTTGATCTTCACCTGATAGATACAAAACTTCATGGGCCCCTCAACATCAAGAAATCTTAGCATGCGTTCGCCTAGCCAGTCCACAAAGCAAGAGGATCCATCATTCCCAAATTTTGAATTTTACATGTTTTCCTGGGTGCTAAAGAAACCATACGCCAAAAAAAACACTCAACTCGACTTCAGCTCCAGGAGCACCTTTCCGTGGAAGCCACACCCATTGATGAGGCTTTTAGGTGCCGCTGTGACTTGAGAAACACTGGTTGAATCGGAGTTCACTTTTGTAGACAATCCTTTTAAAAAGGGGGGATTGTTGCCTCATCTAGCGGGTGATGTTTTTTGAAACGAATCTCAATCAATCCACACTGGTTATAATGGGTGTTTCTCTCAACATGCAGCATTTCTATCCATCTAAGTATGCTTCTTTGGAGGGTGAAAGTTGAAAGTAGTTAGGGTCTTCAACTGGGATGGATACCCCATTGGCTATTTGAATGGCACCAGTTTGAATTTAAATTGCGTAGGCTTTGCCCTCAATGTTCCGGTACCCAACCCTAAGGCTAACTGGGCGCAGGCAAGAAGTGCAACGGCTGCGGCGGAGCTCCAATCTTCGACATTGGTAACCTGTCAGAGTTGGATGCCGATCATCAAAACCCAAATGGTTGTGGGTCAAAACCAGCTGTACATTGGTAAACATCAAAATGGCTGGGATTTATGGATGGTAATCCATCCAAAATATCTCAACATGATAAAGTCCCATACTTGTAGGTTTTGACTCCCTATCCAAAAGCTACATAATGCTGGAATTTAACCAGCATTTTCCCTCCAAAATAGCCAGCTGTGTAAGTAACTATACCATAATTACATGGAGCATTAGTATGGGATGATTGGCTAGGAAATCCCAATGTTTACTGCAAAGTTTTTTGAAATATTTATATAGTGAAACAGAAGCTACAAATAATCCAACCAAAGTGGGGGTTGAGTGAATCCTTGTTCTGGTGGGAAATCATTGATCCGTAAATGGATACATGGCGCCTGTTCAGTGATTCAGGATCCTTTCTCACTGGTTAATTGATACCTCCTCACAAGGAATAGGCTATGATAAATGGCATACCAAACAGGCCGCTTGATTTTTTCCAACAGGATGCTGCGACAGGGCTTCGTCGCCGAGGGAACGGGGTCTATGGCCTATAGACCTTCTCCTAACTCGGGAATGGGTGCAACTTGTAGGAAATCTGAGGAAATTGCTCTTGATTGGGGTAGATAAAGATGAATGAAAGGCTTCCCTCATCTCCCCAGAACTTAATGCTCATGAATCTTAATGAATCTTCATCATCTGAATTTAATCAAGAAATCCTCCAGAGGAAAATAATCAGCCAGCTGTGGTAAGGATTATTCCCAACATATCCCAACTTGTCCACTGCGTTTCCTTCAATTCATCTTCCAGATACAACTCTATTGTCCTATCTCAGGAAAATCATAGAACCCCCCGGACCAGAGTGGACCGATCTGGATTTTTTCACATCAACTCTGCCTCAGGCGTGGTTTCTTGAGCCCGCGGCGGGTGTCCGTTTGAAAAAAGATATCCGGCCAAATCCCTCATCTGGATCCATTGTGTGATGATCCTGGAAGTCACTTCATGGTTTGGGAATTCAGCCAGTTCTTATTCATGTACTAACTTCCAGGATGACAAAGCCATTGGAACTTGACAAACATATTGATCATCTTAGATTAATCCAAAGCCAGCCGTGACCCCGACCAACTGGATCCATGGGAAAGTGTTTGATGTTTGACAGGAACAAGGTGGTGCCCCAGCCAAGTTGTTGAGTTAAAACACATTGTGGTTCAATAAGTATTCTGAATATATCTGACTAGTTCGTCATTGGCTTTCAGAAACCACAAGCATATCTGAGGGGCACCACACTGTATGTATAGATATATGATGACATATACAATATACATATATATATACATATATATATATATGTACACTTTTACATGTGCTATAACATCCTACGTTCAAGCGAGCTTGAACCCCAAGCTACTGCACCTTGATGGAGTTTGCACGAACAGTCGAAGCCGCGAGAGATGATCAGGTGAAACAATGACGGGTGTAGTTGCCATAACCATAGAAAATCCGTACACTCATTGAAACCAATCATACATTAAACCATGCATATATACATAAAGAAAGATAGATAGATAGATAGATAGATGGATAGATAGATAGATAGATAGATAGATAAAAAGACAGAGAGTCCATGGATATGTTACAAAAAAACAACTCACAAGAACAAAGAGTTTGAAAGATCCTAGGGGCCAACAACTCGTGCAATGGAGAAGCCCAGCACGGCTTTCACCTCAGACACTGCTGTCATGTCAGACTCGCTTCCCTGGGTAAAATCCTAAGTTTGATGGGAAGATATGAAGATATCATCTACTTGCCGGAACTGTTAAATCCAACCCGGCAAGCTGTGAATTTCAATTTCTTAAGAAATACATACAATGTGAGGCCCCCCAGTTATAAGTTGGTTTATAAGCCCCAGTAACTATAGTTATAAGTACCATAAACCATAGTTATGTGAGTTATAAACCAACTTAGCTATCTTGGGGGCCTCACATTGTGGGGGTTCCTTTGTTATGGGGGGTACCTCCAGTTCTTATCCATTTAAAGATGGATTGTCCATTCTTGGGAATTTGGATGATGAAAAAAATTGGGAAATTTACCAAAAAAATGGGAGATTTGACCCGCAAATCTCCATTGAAAAAGATCATCCTGAAATGGATTCTCCATATCCCAACCAGCTATTGGGGCCCGATTTATGGAAACCCCCCGATTTATAGATGGATGATTCTGATGTTACTCCTAACATCGGCTGTAAGGTGGTGTCCCCTAGTTATATGATGTTATATTTCTCGGTTATAACCCCATCAAAGTATAGCTACGTACTCAGCAGTTGCCCTAGTTTTCTATTAGTTCTATTATTTCTAGCCAACTTAGCTAACGGCAGGGCACCACCAATCGATGTGATTGAATCAGCATGGATTAAATCGGCACAAGATCGGGATTGGAGTAGACTGGAGCGCAGCAGCCTGTACGTTTGCTGAAATGAATTGAAATATACCTCAGTTACCCTCTAATAAACATCAATAAACTATAGATATAGAACATCCTCCATGAATGTGCATCATTTATCATTTCTAAGAAAAAAACAATGAATTTCCAGTGTTTTTTAAAGACTGGAGCCATCTCTCCCACCAGCCCTGGCTGCCTTCAAGGCCCCGGCAGGGCTCAAGCGCCTCGGTCTCGAGGGGCTCCAGGATCCCGAATGGATCGGGGCAAAAAGTTGGGACGGCCCAGCGATCTGCCGCCGTGAGACCTGCCGGCGGGGTTGTGTGGGTAAGGAAATGACCAGGGTAGATGCTCACTGCTACAATTCTTTTGTTATCCATGGTGATCCTAGTGGATGTATGATGTGCAAATTTGAATTAGACTATTATATATATTATTATATATTTACATCTAGATACCATATACCTGATGAACCTTGATCATTTGAACTTGGGAGCCGGTGCCACATTGTACAGTGGTAGATTTGTCAGGTTTGCGATTTCCAATGCTCGACCAATAGCTGGTTTTTTCAACTTGGGTATATAGGATTATAGTCCACTTGCGCCATGCAGTTGTGGTTATGAATGGACATAACTTGGGGCCATAAAACCTCATATATTTCAACACAAGAACACAACGATGCTTATACAATCATTTATATAGTTCACTGGAACTCCACCCTCAAGTAGAGCCGGGGAACAACCAGCAACCCGAGATAGGCACCGCTAACAACAGATACAACGGATGGCTTCGCACACAAAACAAGTAGTGATTTCTTTGTAGATCACCCACGAAGTCAAGCACGTGATCCCTCATAGGACGATGGCTAAGACTCACAGGGTAGGTCAAAAAAAGAAAGTTTTCCCCCACCATTGGTCAAGCTGGCTGTCACAGGATCTCAGACTTGGTTTCAGGGAAAATCAAATTCGGAACGACTCAATATCTGGCTGCGAAATCCAAGCAATGTGTTAACTCAATCATAAACAATCCCCAAAATCTCCATGAATGGGTGGTTTAAACCAGGCCGAAATGGTCGGTTTCTGATTGGGTTTGCCATGTTCTGGCTCCTAAGGTGCCATGCATTCCGACCGACTCACCGTGCGGCCCCACAGTCTTTAGCTTTCCCAGCTTGAAAAAGCTGTGCTCAAACAGACTGAAACGAAGGAATATTGACATCTTTATGTTTAAAAGGAGGAATACAAAACCAGAACATGCTGGGGAGGTATGTTTTGGCCAGTGCATGTGAACGTGAAGTGGTTCACACCCGAGAGAAGTGGCCAAAATATGCATGTTTGCTGTTCAGGATTTGTTTGGGTACACATGGGCAAATGTCCGCCTTGTCCGCAGAGACAACACGCATTCTATACTGCAGTAGGAGAGAAAAAAGCATACCATATACTCACATACTGGCCGAAAATCGACATCTGACAATAGTGATACGGTGACATAGAGTAACCTAGAGTACTCTAGAGTGACAGAGAATGACATAGAGCTTTGTTAAAGAATGAGTGAATTATTCCAGTTTACCCAGCAAATCGGGATAAAATGGGGAATATAAGTTCCATGGTCGTGGTGCAGAAGATCGATCTCTTTGGGTTTCAATGGCTAAATCCAAAGGTTGAACAAGTTTCAAACGTCATCTTCCCCATTCAAATGGCTGTTTTGGGGGGCTAGTCCTGCATTTCAGCCGAACCCATTTGTCCTACGTTGATCGTTGTACATCATTGGAGTATTTTATGAGTGTTGTTGTAGCTACACCCACAGAAATGACACAGGACAGGACAGGTTTTCTGGGTGTCCCATCTCAGTTTCGGCGAGTTTCACCAAGTTTTTTTGGAGCTCCTGGAGCAGGTTTCAGGCTGGTGAACAATGAATCATGAACCATCCATCTACCATAGAAATCATTCGTCCAACTATGTGGTTCCGGATATCCAGGCTTGCTCCAGTCCGCATTTTCGGTCAAGGATATCCACATATATCGGGGTGATCATCAGCAAAATCCTAGATATCCATAGATATCCTAGTTGAATTTTCAATGGTTTTCCTATGGTTTTCTTCCCTAAGGGCCTGCGGTGTTGGGAACCACTTTTCGTTGCAGGGCTTGCCCTTGCGCCGCCGCGTCGTGGACGTGGCGGATGCGCCCTTCAAGCACGGAGCAGCCACAGGGTGCCGATGCGAGACCGGGGAAAGTTATGGCTGGGCTTGGTAAATTATATAAGGGTTACATTATGTTACATCAGTACATGTTCATGTATACATATATATATATATATATATAATCCTCCTGCCAATTTCCACTACTAAATGCTATGACCTAGGTCCCGGAAAGTGAACCAAAAATTTAGTGTGAAATTTCCAGAAACCATTTAGTAGAGAATCATGATTTTTCAAAAAAAAATCAAGTAAACATCTCTAGACCCATGATCCACATTTAGTAGTGAGGTAAAACATGTTAATCATATGATGTCAAATGTTGTTTTTTGGGTAAAACCATTTAGTAGAGATGTCAAAAAAAATGTTGCAAAATCACAGGAACCATTTAGTAGAGGTTGCGAAGTAGAGTTCATAAAACGGTCACAATGACACGAGACAAAACTGAAAAACCATTTAGTAGAGATTCCCATTCCGTTGCCCCCGATAGTCGTTTGGCCAATCCATGTCCATCAGGATGAGTCACGTAAATCCAGATAGTATATGATAATAGATGCTCAAAAAAATAAGAAGCTTGAAAAATAAATATAAATTCTAGAATGCCAATGAATATCAAAGATATTCCTGGGTTGAAGTAAATCAACATGATCGGGTATACCGCGATATGAAACAACAGAAGTTGGACAAAGATAGCATCCTTGCGGTATCCTGCCATGCCGCCTCCAGTCTAGCCAAGTGCTGCCTCTACTAAATGGATGGTCATGGGATCAGTCTATCTAGAACTGTTTCAAACAAAGCCCTGTTGCATCCTTGTGTGCCCTATAATCCCTTACGCGCTATGCAACACCATTTTGTAGTCCCAAAATGTCCAAATTCTATCAAGATTTCCCCTGTCTAGCCAAGTGCTGCCTTGCCTTTTTTGGGGGCGATGCCAAATCCCTCGCTTGGGTGTTTCTTGCTCAACTTGCGCTCAAATGAGTACCTCTACTAAATGGAACAGGGTGTTTGGTCGAGTCATGTTGGCGTCTTAAGACACTCTGAAAATATATCCAAATTTTGCGCTTCAGCTGAACCAGGGGCCCACATTTAGTAGTGAAATTCGATCATGCATGCACATCCATTTAGTAGAGCTTGAGGCTATGCAGGCCGTTTCTTCACTACAAAATGGTTGCACAGCCCCAACCCTTAATTGACAGGGGTTTTTTATATATATATGTATGTGTATTTGTGGCATAACATAATAATACATATAAATATATAATATTACATATATATATATATTATTTTTAGCATTCTCATTTTTATTAGTAGTATTACATATGTATATGTATATATATATATGTTACACATACATATATATGGAAAAAAGCATTAAGGACTTCAACTTCACTGGAATGATGGGGAATGTAAGGGGCAACTTTCCCAAAATAGCCGAACTTTTCAGGTCGATTTACCCATATCAGTGATCGATGGTGATAATTTAACTTATTAATATAATACAGCTAGCTATGCAATTCACAATGTGTAATAGGTTTACCGAACTAAATTGGCAATTGGCCATATCTATGTTGAATTACCGGAGGGTGGAGGTTTGCAGTAACCATCAATAAGATAATATATATGAGCGGATGGTTGATAAATGACGATACTCATGGATGATTGGCTAATAATACTGTTTATTAGCAGCTTCATTGAGGATAGTGACAACGTATTTCATCGGGATATACCTGGTTAGCAATGCAGCAACAAATGTTGTAAGATGGGACAGGATAGGGGTATGTGCCATGGCTCGTTTGTTTTAAAAGTTGGTAGTAAACCATGAAGTATCCCGCATGGGCCCCCAAGCGCAGAGTAACTTAGTCTATGACTAGGCTAGCCGCTGACCAGTGGTTTTGATGAAAAGCTTGAGGGGGAAATGAGTGTTTTTGTTTCAACACCCATACTTGATCAAAGTAGGAACTTGAGTCATGACAAACTCTATATCCTAGTGATATAGAGGGTTTGCCCAGTGAAATATGGGTCGTTTAAAGATTGAACATACCTCCAAATGTGAAAATGATCTTTGCTTGGCTGGCGAACAGTAGCAACTTTTAAAGTTCGAATGACTCAGCCGGATATTAACCAAATTTAACCAAGTTTAACCAAGTCTAAGCAAGTTCAACCAAGTTTAACCAATTTTAACCAAGTTTCCCAAACATGCTCTCATCTTCCAGTTGCACTACCTGTTACCATTTGTTGCCTATGTATCACTAAGCTCAAATAGCCCATAGGTGCCTGGAAGGTCAGATCCGGCTGGATCTTCTAAGTGTTGTGGTACAACATGGTACAGCCAATGCCAGCAGCTACCCCAAAAAACTTTCTAGAAATGGATAGTATCAACAACATTTCATTATTGGATAGTATGGACAACAATGGATAGTATAGAAAACTTACCAATGGACTTTAAACAAGTGTTGTTATTACTATGATTATGATGATTATTATTATTATATTTTACTAGACTTACCACATAACTCCAGGGATAGGATTACCTAAGGGTTCTAGTTCTGGGATGGATGACTAAACCACATCTGGCATTTTTTGATGGCACATGTAAGAACCATGTAACCAGCCCGACCCCCCTCCAAAAAAAGAGTGGCCCCACGCCATGGCATCAGGTTGGCAATGAATGGCTTTGGAAGGTGCGACCATTTAGCAGGAAAAATCTCGAGATATCCTAGGGCATCTAACGCATGGGAACGTCTTAACTATGGATGGTTTCAACTATTATGAGTTTGAAATAGAACTGGTTCATTGCTTTCAATTGCTAACAAATGTTTCTGTACGTATACTTGAACACAATACTAATGCATTTTGATTGTTTATTGGCTGTGTCATGGGATCTTATGTTCTTGTAATATATATATATGTATATTGCTATTTACAGATATGCAGATATACATGTATATATATATATATATATAATGGGGTTGTAGCTTCCAAAATGGTGATGTAGTTGACAAAGGGTAGTTGGTTTATGAGTATACTGAGTATAGTATACCCTCTGGTAATTTAACATAGCTATGGAAAATCACCATTTTTAATGGGAAAATTCACTATAAATGGCCATTTTCAATAGCTATGTTAAATTACCAGAGGGTAGTCCTCTATCGACCTACGTTGTTTATTCGATATCATTCACTGCCCCTGTATTGACCGAAAACCCACCAGAGATAACCGCGTGTTGGGATCAACCGTCCCAAGAGCGGTCGGGATCAACCCAAAAAAGCTTGGTGAAGTATGATATATGATATATTTTATATATGATATTATATATATATATATATGATATTATATTTTTGATTTTATATATATATGTTATTATACATATGATATTTTATATATGATATACTATATATATGATATTATATATATATATATATATATAAATATTATACTTAAGCGATAGGGTTTCAAAGCAATTTGATTTGGTAGTCATCGCTGACACGGAAGTTAAGCTTGTTTGGAGTTTTTGCCAAAGGATGGGATATGAATGGATAGGATATATCAACATAAAATGGCTGATGAAACTTGGATCCCAACCATGCTGGACCTGAGTTTGTCGGATTTTCTCCGGTTTGTTATGGCAATGAGAAGTGGAATGCTGTTCCACACGTTGAATCATTTTTTTTGACAGGGTAAGTATTCCTACCATGGTAGGTGACATAGGTGACATTTGTCAAATTTGGATGACATTCCCGATGCAAAAGTTTGGTGAAGGATAGCCTGCCCTTCTAAGATTGAATTAAAACTCAAAACCAACTATTTTGCTAAACAAAATCGCCTGGTTCATCAACAAATGAGAAGTGTTCAAGCCCCCCGTTCGTTGATGATTAGAGGAAGTCATACTGACCAACATTGGTTATTATCTGGACCAAGATGGGGTATTATCATGACCAAGATTGGTTATTATCATAATCCATTGCGGAAAATCCGATCAACGAACCAGTATAAAGGCACGCCCCACATGGTTTTGGAACAAGTTGGGTTTTGGAACACGTGGGTTAGTGGTCCATGTCTTCCCAATCGAAATATCCACAATGTGGCTAGCCCCATGAGTGGTGCATTTCAAGTAGGAACATGCCGCTATGTTCTGTGTATACAGAGGATTCGTGGGACTCCATGAGAATTGAAGGTTTATATATTGGTTGATAGTGTCAATGACATCCCCAAGTATATGTAGTTTGCGGATCGATATCCCATCATGTCATTTTGTCAGTTGCTCATTTCCATATCACATTATATAACTCTCACTTCATCCTTGGCAAAACATGGTCGAAACATCAACATCTTGGGGTGAATTACCTGTTTGTTGCGGGTGAATGAAGGACTTCTAGCTCAACATATTGGGGCAACACAGCAAAATCATTGAATTTCTACAGCCATCGAAGGTGGTGGCCCCCAGTTTTGATGGTTTATAGCATGACATACTGACCTTATTTGATTGGTGGTTTGGAACATGGCTTTTATTTGTCCATTCAGTCGGGAATCATCATCCCAACTGACGAACTCCATCATTTTTCAGAGTTATAAGTTGGTTTATCAGCCCCAGTAACTATAGTTATAAGTACCATAAACCATAGTTATGTGAGTTATAAACCAACTTAGCTACCTTGGGGGCCTCACATTGTAGGTATACCACCAACCAGTCATATGACATCGTGACCTCCGCGCAGGTACTTCACGGACTCGGACGGCCTTGCCGCGCAGCAAGGGAAGCGGCATATGCGGCCGCCCGATTGCAAGGCGCCACGTGAACGCCACGTGAACGTTACGTGAACGCCACGTGAACACCACGTGAACACCACGTGAACTGTTGATGAAGTTAAGATGGTTACGTCCCGGTATATCTTTGCGGCTGTTTCGATCAACGCGGCGTGCGAACAGATCCGTGGCCATATCGGGATCGGACGAAGTCTTCGGAATCTTGAGGGGTTGTCGAAAGTTTGGGTACGGACAAACCGTAAACCATGACAAAGTCGTTGCAGCGCGGTGCTCTAGACTTATGAGTCCAGCAACACAGAGAATATAGGGTTTGACAAAAAACAAAACCAGAGCAAACAAAAAAAACAAACTAGAAAACCAAAACCAAGGTAAAAACAAGAAAAAAAAGCAACACGCCGATAAGAAAAACGAAAAAAAAACTGAGGAAAATGCAGGTTTTGTTTTATTTTGTTGTTTTGATTTTTTTTTGTTTTTTTGTTTGTGTGTTTTTTCTTGTTTTGTTTCTTGATTTTTCTGGTGACTCTTCCTGTCGACTTGTTTTTTTGGTGATTCGGTTTTTGATTCTGTGTTTTTTTTCCCCACCTGCCAGGTGAGGGTTGTTAGATTTTATGTCAGTTGCCTGCTCCTCCTCCTCTCCTCGTCTCCTCTCCTCCTCTCCTCTCCTCCTCCTCCTGCTCAACCGCGACCCTCGACGCACAGTGGTCTCTGTCGGACCTCAACCACGACCATCCACGCCCAGTGTTCCCTGCCGGACCTCAACCACGACCATCCACGCCCAGTGTTCCCTGCCGGACCTCAACCACGACCATCCACGCCCAGTGTTCCCTGCCGGACCTCAACCGCGAGTATCCCCGCCCAGTGTTCCCTGCCGGACCTCAACCACGACCATCCACGCCCAGTGTTCCCTGCCGGACCTCAACCGCGAGTATCCACGCCAAAAGATATGCCACATAGAGTGCCAGAAGATATGCCAGATAGAATGTTAGAAGATATGCCAGATAGAATGCCAGAAGGTATGCCAGATAGAATGCCAGATAGAATGTCAGCTAGAATGCCAGAAGATATGCCAGATAAAGTGCCAGAATGTTTGCCAGATAGAATGCCAGCAGATTTGCCAGATAATATGCCAGAAGATATGCCAGATAATATGCCAGAAGATATGCCAGATAGAATGCCAGATGGAATGCCAGAAGATATGCCAGATATGCCAGAATGCCATATGCCAGAAGATATGCCAGAACATATGCCAGAAGATATGCCAGAAGATATGCCAGAACATCTGCCAGAAGATATGCCAGAACATCTGCCAGAAGATATGCCAGGTAGAATGCCAGAAGATATGCCAGATAGAATGCCAGATCGAATGCCAGAAGATATGTCAGATAGAATGCCAGAAGATTTGCCAGTAACAAAATGTATAAATGTCATGGTGGGGCGAAGTAAAGTAATTCTTTTTTTTTGCCAAAATCCACTTTCTCTGTTCTACATGGGGTCATAACTCTAGAGATCTAAGGTCTTTGTCACTTGGTTTCCTTAGCCCAGCTGCGTCAGCTGCTTGGGGCTTGAGAGCGATATAGAACGATATACTGTAGGGCCATGACGTCCCTCAAGAAACATACCCGAGACCTCAACAACATCCAGTAATACACCGTGAACAGTGAAAGGCAACATGTTCAACTATGGCCTCAAGTAAAAGGAATGGCTGAGATGTTCCTCGATTGGATGACATATAGGTAGAATGCCCACATCACTGGATAAACGCAACGACGCAACGATGTATTGCGGTTCCCTCCGTCGATTCTGTCTATAAGAAAGATCGCAAGCACGTTCGCCGCAGATGCCGCAGGCACCGTCATCAAACAACAATTGCTATCAGGGAAACTACGAACAAAATCAAATGAACCCAGCAACGATCAACTCTACCCAAAATTACTATATGGGTTCAAGGTTTATTTTTGTCTCTGGAGCCACGACGTCGTCGTCCGGCAAACCCTGTGCGATCACGTTAATCACGTTGACGCCCACGTGTGACTGCGAAGAATCGTTGCCTCAACCAAGTCTATAGCGGTTCAAGGGATATGATCGATATATATATATCGATATGATATACAACCTTTGATTTCTTGGATCCAATTCTTGTTTTTGCAAAACTGCAACGATGAATTCTTCCACCTGAGCTATATAAGCCAACAATGCGCAAGAGACGGCGGAGGAAGTTCAAAGTGCGACCTCTACTACCGACCTTAAAGAGCGTATCGCGCGCATCTGAACAAGTTATTAGAAGGCCAACGGGCAATACGAAAGGCTACTGAAGTTCAGAACGAGATGTTCTAACTCAAGTAAAATGGTATGTGTGCGTGTGCAATTTTAAACGTCGGAGCGTCATGGAGCTTCAATGCATCACAATGTAACTCCCTACTCACGATCTCCCGTCGTACGGAATTGACTCAAAGGACTCAGCGTTGGAGCGAGACCCGTAACATTCCATTCAAACGATCGACAGCAGCCCAGCGGCTGCTGAAGTAGATTGGGCCAATAGGCTTCGTTGTATTCGGCGCGGCAAGAGCCAAGAAACGTGATGCTTTACTGTTGTCATATGAGCGATCAAGCCAAATGTTTTTTTCCAAGAAACACACCATATATTTGACATATTTTATTTTGACATATTTTTGAGGACATATGAACATGTTAAGCATATAGGATGGTTGTCCAGAAACACACTGCGTATTTTGCCATAAAAGTCTCAAGCAAAACAGATGGCCTCGTACAGAACTACAACATACGATTGGCTGCAAAACCTTTGATCCCTAAAATCGTTCGAAAGCCTGGCGATTACCTTGGCGCACCGCGGTCACTGTGCAATTCCGTAGCTCCATCCTGTGTCTAGTTGTTCCATGTTGTTCCTTCCTGCTTCCAAATCAATGATGTGTTATTTTTGTTTGTTTTCTCCCTGTGGTTGTTCTTTTTTTCTCGTTGATTTGTTCCTTTCTATCCCATCCTTCTTTCGTTTTCCCTTTTCTCCTCCTTTCCAAGGAGTGGTGGCAGTGGTGGAAGTTATATAGGCTTCACAAAAAAATCTTGAACACCATCCCTACATACCCGCTCCGTATCTAGGCGGTTCATGGAATATGGGTAAAACATTGTTAGAACTTTTGTAATTTTAGGTTAAAATGGTTAAATAGCTCGAGTGCCTCAAAAATACAAATCGCGATAAATTGACCTGTTTACCGGTCCGAACATGGGGCATATGTATTCAACGTTTGCCTGGCCCAAATATTAAAATATATTACCACGCCCGTTTTTCCTTTTATGCGAGGCTTTCAAGATTTAAAAGATGTGCAACTCTTCTCTTCTTTTCCTCCTTTCTTCTCTCCTCGTCGTTCGTTGCAAGCACGTCGTGTCTGTGGGCAGTGCCGGAAATTTATCGCGGGTTCCAACTCATGCTGGGAACGCATGGAGTTGAACCCTATCGCGCGTTCCTAGCTCGAGCTGGCTACAGTTGGGCACGAGTGGGCCAGAAAAAATGCTACAATAATGCCAAATAGAATAGCAAAATCAAAAATAACAAATTGAATATTTCAATCAAAGGAGCGGATAACCCCACAAATTTAACATTTTCCAAAAACACAAAACAGCTGTGAACATGGGATGGGCAAGGTGGGAAAAGGAAACACAACGGTGTCACACACACACAATTTTGTCACAAACCACCCTTTCACGCACAACTCTTTCACACACATGTTTTTCCCGAGAGCGTCTGAGCGCAGGGTTCTTCCAATAGTGGGGGTCTTTCTCTCATCTTCTCATCTTCACATCTTCTCACCTTCACATCTTCTCGTCTTCACATCTTCTCATTTTCACACCTTCTCATCTTCACAGCTTCTCATCTTCACATCTTCTCATCTTCACATCTGCTCATCTTCACATCTGTTCATCTTCACATCTGCTCATCTTCACAACTCCTCATCTTCACATCTTCTCATCTGCACATCTTCACATCTTCACATCTGCTCATCTTCATATCTTGTCATCTTCACATCTTCACATCTTCACATCTGCTCATCTTCATATCTTCTCATCTTCACATCTTCACATCTTCACATCCTCACATCTTCACATCTTCTCCTCTTGCCCTCTTGCCCTCTTGTCCTCTTGCCCTCTTGCCCTCTTGCCCTCTTGCCCTCTCCTTCTTTTATATTTCTCTTGTGAAGGCAGGGGCAGGGGCAGTGCCAACGAGACGGCACGAAACGCAACCCCCTCTCACAAAACGAGGTTCGATCGCCAAAAACTGAGGTAAAATTGCGATTTCAACTTGTCACGCGCAACCCTTTCGCGCGAAAAGAGGTTCGATCGCCAAAAACTGCGGTAAAATTGCGATTTCAACTTGTCCCGCGCAACCCTTTCGCACGAAATGAGGTTCGATCGTCAAAGGCTGAGGTAAAATTGCGATTTCAACTTGTCCGGCGCAACCGTTTCGCACGAAACGAGGTTCGATCGCCAAAAAATGAGGTAAAATTGCGATTTCAGGGTGTCCGGCGCAACCCAATCGCACGAAATGAGGTTCGATCGTCAAAAACTGTAAAATTGCGATTTCCAGTCGTCCTGCGCAACTCTTTCGCACGAAACGAGGTTCGATCGTCAAAAACTGCGAGGACAAATTGCGATTTCCGGGTTCCCGTTGCAACCCTTTCGCACGAAATGAGGGTCGATCGCCAAAAACTGAAGTAAAATTGCGATTTTTTCTGTGTGTACAAAGGTTCTGTGCTTTGTGTGAAAGCTTCTGTGTGTAAAAGCATCTGTGTAAAAGCGTCTGCTTAAAAGCTTCTGCGTGCTCTGTGTAAAAGTTTCTGTGTGTAAAGGTGTCTGTGTGTAAAAGCTTCTGTGTGTAAAAGCGTCTGTGTGTAAAAGCGTCTGTGTGTAAAAGCGTCTGTGTGTAAAAGCGTCTGTGTGTAAAAGTGTCTGTGTGTAAAAGCTTCTGTGTGTAAAAGTGTCTGTGTGTAAAAGCGTCTGTGTGTAAAAGCCTCTGTGTGTAAAAGCGTCTGTCTGTAAAAGCTTCTGTGTGTAAAAGCTTCTGTGTGTAAAAGCTTTTGTGTGTAAAAGCGTCTGTGTAAAAGCTTCTGTGTGTAAAAGCGTCTGTGTGTAAAAGCTTCTGTGTGTAAAAGCTTTTGTGTGTAAAAGCGTCTGTGTGTAAAATCGTCTGTGTGTAAAAGCCTCTGTGTGTAAAAGCGTCTGTCTGTAAAAGCTTCTGTGTGTAAAAGCTTCTGTGTGTAAAAGCGTCTGTGTAAAAGCTTCTGTGTGTAAAAGCGTCTGAGTGTAAAAGCGTCTGTCTGTAAAAGCTTCTGTGTGTAAAAGCGTCTGTGTAAAAGCTTCTGTGTGTAAAAGCGTCTGTGTGTAAAACTGTATGTGTGAAAAAGCGCCTGTGTGTAAAGGAGTCTGTGTGTAAAAGCCTATGTGTGTAAAACTGTCTGTGTGAAAAAGCGCCTGTTAAAGGAGTCTGTGTGTAAAAGCCTATGTGTGTAAAAGCGTATGTGTGTAAAAGCTTCCGTATGTAAAAATGTCTGCGCGCAAACACTTCCGTATATAGAAGTGTCTGTGTCTAAAAGCACCTGTGTGTAAAAGCGTCTCTCTGTAAAAAAATCTGGGTGTGAAAAGCTATACAAAAGATACGATGCAAACTACTGTCTTGTACTTATGCTATATTGTCTTGATACTCCTCTTCTCGACTGCCTATAACACATCTTTAATATATTGTTTTGTAATATGGTGTCTCCATACTAACAAGAGAAGACTCTGCTCCTCTACGCTCTCGGGCCATCCGTCGTCTAGTTTACACACAACTCTTTCACACAAAACTTTTGTACACACAAGTGTTTCACACGCAAACTTTCCCACACATTATGTCACATACATCGTTTCACCCACAACACTTTTACAGACACACACACACAAACTTCCACTAGTTATGTGCGGAAGAGTTGTGCGTGGAAAAAATGTGTGTGTGTGGGAAAGCTGTTTGTGACGAAGTTGTGTGTGAAAGAGTGGGTGAAGGATTTGTGTGTGGAAGAGTTGTGTGAGAAAGAGTTGTGTGTGGAAGATATGTGTGTGTGAAAGAGTTGCGTGTGAAAGAGTTGTGCGTGAAAGTTTTGTGTGTGAAAAAGTTGTGTGTGTGTGCAAAAGTTGTGCGTGAAAATGCCGCGGCGCCCGCCAGACGCAAGCGCGCCATCAGAGCCAGTCCAATGCCGTAAATGCCACGCCTGCCACGCAAAAGGCAGGTGGAAAGAGTTGTGTGAGAAAGTTGTGTGTGAGAAAGTAGAAAGTTGTGTGTGAGAGAGTGGTGTGTGAGAGAGTGTGTGAAAAAATTGTGTGTGTGTGACAAAGTTGTGTGTCACAAAGTTGTGTGCGAAACAGTTGTGTGTAAAAGCGTGGTGTGTGAAAGGGTTGTGTGTGTGTGCGTGTGTGTGTGACTGTGACAAAGTTGTGTGACAAAGTTGCGCGTGTTTGTGAAACAGTTGTGCGTGGAAGAGTTGTGCCTGAAAGTGTTGTTTGTGCGCAGTGTGAAAAAGCTGCCTGTGACAAAGTTCTGTGTGACAATGTTGTGTGTGAAGGAGTTGTGTGTGACAAAATTGTGTAAGAGATGTGCGTGACAAAGTCGTGTAATGTCGTGTAAGAGTTGTTTGTGGTGACGGTGCCCATGGATGGGCGGGACTGCTGTCACTTTTGCACATTCTTTTGGGGGGTGTAATAGCGTCCTGTGGTGTGCGTTGTCAAAAACGATGCCCTGCTACGTTGTAACGTCTTCTGTAAGTAATTTTCAAGACGTTCCTGATACGTTGCAACATCTTCTTCAAGTAACGTGCAAGACGTTCCTGATACGTTGTAACATCTTCGTCAAGTAAGTTGCAAGATGTTCCTGATACGTTGTAGCATCTTCATCAAGTAAGTTACAAGACGTTCTTGATACGTTGTAGCATCTTCGTCAGGTAACGGGGGAAGGGGGGTTTGGACGGGGTTTTGGGTGGGGGTGTAATAGCGTCCCGTGGTCTGCGTTGTGGGTAACGATTTCCTGATAGATTGTAATGTTTTCAGCAAGTACTTTGCAGGCCGTTCGTGATACGTTGTAACATCTTTTTCAACTGAACTGCAAGACGTTCTTGATACGTTGTAACATCTTCAAGTAACTTGCAAAAACGTTCTTGATACGTTGTAAAATTTTCCTCACGTAACTTGCCAGACATTCCTGATACGTTGTAACACCTTCGTCAAGTAACTTGCAAGACGTTCTTGATACGTTGTAACGCCTTCCTCAAGTAACTTGCAAGACGTTCTTGACACGTTGTAACATCTGCGTCAAGTAACTTGCAAGACGTTCCTGATATGTTGTAACACTTTCATATGAAATCATACATCCCACGTACTCTTTCTTCAAGTAAATTAAATGCGCATGGAACGACAGCTGCCTTGATGAAACGCTGCCTAATATGGCACTGGTTGCACGACTTGTTTGCTCCTGGCTACTCCCTGTGGGATCAGCTAGGAAAGCTTTGTAAAAACACAACAAAAGAATTGGATTATGGCGTCTCGCATGTGGATGGGAAAGAAAAAGTGACGATTGTCCACTTTCAGAAACGCTGAAAGCGCCGCATTTCTACAAGCGCCGTAACCTTGTTTGTGTGTGTGTGTGTGGAATTGTGTGTGTGCGTTTGTGTGCGAAAGTTGTGTGTGTGTGTGGTGCGAAAGTTGTGTGTGTGTGTGTGACAGTTGTGCGTGACAAAATTGTGAGGAGGCCATCAGGAGACGGAGGCGGAGGAGAGGACGGGAGTGCACTAGAAAAACACAAATTTCACACCATGAAAATCGCAGATAAATTTCAGAGAGGATGCTCAATAGAATGCCTGCTGGATTGCCAAAACGAGTTTTCAACAGAATACCGACTGCAATGTTAGGCCAACCGCCAGATGTAATGCCAGACCAAATGCCAGACCGAATGCTAAAACATATGTCGGACAGAATGCCGCTTGGCGGGAATCTCTCGAAGAAAATAATCTGCATTTATTCCCTGTGTCGAAAATACTCGTTTTGTTTTTTTTTGGTACCGGTGCTTGGTACTGTAACTCATTGGGTTTGTTGGTTTTTCCTATTCGCTACGAAGCTGCGCGCACCTTAAGGACCTAATGTCATTTATGGTGCTAGGCAGCGCTAGCGCAACTGTCGAGTTTGTTTGTTTTTTGGTTGTTTCACCTCAATGTTCAAAATTATGACAATTTCATGTGTTCCTGAACGTTTGTTCTTTCAACATGCGTTCCCCAGAAAATACGTTTCCGAATAATTCCAAATATGTTTGTCCTTGGAATTAAGTACGAACGTTGTTCCCAGCATTGCTCGCAACAGATCCATGAAAAAAACAGTTGCCACATTTGGATACATTTGGCGTTTCAAGCCGAAACACTCCTAGTGTTGTGGCGCCGAACCATTTTCCTGGATTTGGTTTCCAATAGTCTGATTTCAATAGTTTGGTTTAGTTCCGGGGCCCGAATGCAACTACCATTGCGTTTGATCCTTGGGCCGGTCCCCGGACGTAATGATCGGAAATGGGACACATGAACCGTTTTTTAATATGTCTTGTAAGATGTTGGAAACCATAGTGCTGCCCACAAGCTCCGCATACCAATATTTTGCGTTGGTGTGCCGTCCTTGGATCGCGAATGTGTTTCACGAGTTCTTTTCGATTTTCTCATGGAAATGTTGATTAACTAACGCCATGGAAAATGATGAGGCACCACCATGGTCATTATATGTATTTTTAAAGTTTACTTGAATATCAACCCGTCTAAACAAAAAATGTTTGCGTTCCGCTGTCGTATTGTTTCATTCGAGAACACAATAATAGTTCAACGGCACTCGTTCCAATTTCCAGGACGCAATGGGAGGCTTTGTGCCCCGTATAGGAGGCGTTTTCTTAAAGAAAAAAACCAAAATGGGGTTGGGCATTGCATTTTCTGGAAACGGGTTGGAAGTTGCATCTTATAAGATTTTAGTGTTTGCATGGCTGAAACAGACACCTTGGAGAATTGAAAATCATTTTGTAGCAAGGGAAATTGCCTTTCGGAAAGTAACATGCCAAAACCATTCAAAACCCAATATCATTTTGTAGCAAGGCAAGTTGACCTTCGGAAAGCAACATGTTAAAGCCCAATGTCAGTTGCATGTTTGACATGTACAAACAAAAACAAAAATCCACTCCTGTCCAATCGTTATTTTGTAGTGGTGGAGGGATTAGTCTGATTAATTACAAAATCCAAAAGCGGATCTTCATTTTGTAGTGGTGGAGTGTCTCCTTCAAGTAACCGGATGATAAAATAAATGTTCATTTTGTAGTGTTGGCGGGTCCGCTTCAAGTAGCCTGTTGATAAGAAAATAATTTTCATTTTGTAGTTGTGTCGCCTGGTCAAATTCCAGCACCTGCAGGAGGTTGAGAACCATCATTTTATAAAGGCGGAGGTTAGGAACAAATGCAATGCCTACAAAATGACGGGTCCCGACCCCATAGGTGAAATTCAAACGGGCATGTTGAACGCATTTTTGGTAGAGGCCTTCTTGAACAGCAGTGGGGTGATACTTCGAAGCAGCACGTTATACTTCGCTAGGCTTGTATACAAGATCATGAAACAGGACCAAATGGTTTGCAGTAGCCTTTGGCTCCACACTTCTCGTCGGCATTCACCTAAAATGGCGGGTCTCCACCGGTTTTGTCGCGTTGCTGCCGGTGGAGCGCATTCATTGCTCGTCACGGAGCGCGCTGAGGTGTTGGCATGGGGTAGCAACTCCCACGGCCAAGTTGGAAATGCCAGTGTGGAGGAACCAGCATTCTTCTACAATTCAAATGCGGGCACGCGCACACACACACAGACACACACACACACACCCACACCCACCAATTTACCTCCCTCCCTCCGTTCCCTCCTTCCCTCATTCCCTCCTTCCCTACCTCCCTCCTTCCCTACTCACCTGCCTCCCTGCCTACCTACCTACCTCCTTCCATCCCTACCCTACCTTATCCTATACCCTACCCTTCCCTACCCTACCTTTGGTATGACCTTCAAAGTTGCTCTTCAAGATGAGGTGGGTTCAGATACAGAGGGTTCGCTCCTACTTTCTGTGATGCCTTTCTGCCAACCTGCCAGCCTGCCAGCCTACCTACCTACGTACCTACCTACCGACCGACCGACCGACATACATACATGCATGCATACATACATACATTTATACATGCATGCATACATACATACATACATACAGACAGACAGACAGAGACAGACAGACAGAGACATACAGACTCAGACAGAGACAGAGACAGAGACAGACAGACAGACACATACATACATACATACATACCTGCCTACCTACCTACATACCTACATAGGTACACGTTTTACATACATACACATACAAACATGCATACACACGCATACAATTATATATATATCTCTACAAATACACATGCAAATACAAAACCAAATGCATATACATGTGCAAATACATTTACATTGGCATCTACATTTACATTTACATTTACATTTTACATTTACATGTACATTTACATTTACATACAGATATACACATAGATATGGATGTAAATATACATGCGGATATACATATACATATACATTTACATTTACATCTACAAATGCATATACATATACATATACATTTACATTTGCATTTACATATGTATATATTGAAAAACATATTTATATATACATAATAAATATATCTATTGTTTGCTATTGATTAGTGTTCAGAGTTCCTAAGTCTCTAGGATGGAGGGGTTTCAAAATATTTTTTTTATGATTTATTTATGATTTGAATACGATTTCCATTTATGATTTTTTTATGGGTTCAAATTGTGGTTATGATTTTTTTATGGTTTGGATATGATTTTTTTATGATTTTTTTGTGATTTTTTTAGTCCTCAGAATCTGGTTTTCAGCTAAAAACTCGAGAAATTTTCGATTTTTTTATGATTTTGCTAGAGTTTCCTTTTCCCCAAAGCCTTTTCAGCAGAAAATTTGATTTTGGAAGCAAAATCGTAAAAAAATCGTAAAAAAAATCGTAAAAAAATCGTAAATGCATCCAAGGTCCCCAGAATCTGGTTTTCAGCTAAAAACTCGAGAAATTTTCGATTTTTTTATGATTTTGCTAGAGTTTCTCTAGGAAAATCGTAAAAAAATCGTAAATGCATCCAAGGTCCCCAGAATCTGGTTTTCAGCTAAAAACTCGAGAAATTTTCGATTTTTTTATGATTTTGCTAGAGTTTCCTTTTCCCCAAAGCCTTTTCAGCAGAAAATTTGATTTTGGAAGCAAAATCGTAAAAAAATCGTAAAAAAATCGTAAAAAAATCGTAAATGCATCCAAGGTCCCCAGAATCTGGTTTTCAGCTAAAAACTCGAGAAATTTTTGATTTTTTTGTGATTTTGCTAGAGTTTCTCTAGGAAAATCGTAAAAAAATCGTAAATGCATCCAAGGTCCCCAGAATCTGGTTTTCAGCTAAAAACTCGAGAAATTTTCGATTTTTTAATGATTTTGCTAGAGTTTCCTTTTCCCCAAAGCCTTTTCAGAGCAGAAAAAATGATTTTGGAAGCAAAATCGTAAAAAAATCGTAAAAAAAATCGTAAATGCATCCAAGGTCCCCAGAATCTGGTTTTCAGCTAAAAACTCGAGAAATTTTCGATTTTTTTGTGATTTTGCTAGAGTTTCTCTGTAAAAATCAAATTTTCTAGTGGAAAAGTCTTCAGGGAAGAGGAAATTCTACGAAAATCGTAAAATAATCGTAAAAAAATCGAAAATTTCTCGAGTTTTTAGCTGAAAACTAGATTCTGGGGACCTTGGAAGCATTTACGATTTTTTTACGATTTTTTTACGATTTTCCTAGAGAAACTCTAGCAAAATCAAAAAAAAATCGAAAATTTCTCGAGTTTTTAGCTGAAAACCAGATTCTGGGGACCTTGGATGCATTTACGTTTTTTTTACGATTTTTTTACGATTTTGCTTCCAAAATCAAATTTTCTGCTGAAAAGGCTTTGGGGGAAAGGAAACTCTAGCAAAATCATAAAAAAATCGAAAACTTCTCGAATTTTTAGCTGAAAACCAGATTCTGAGGACTAAAAAACCATAAAAAAATCATATAAAAATCATATCCAAAACCATAAAGAAAACATATCCAAACCATAAAAAAATCATAACCACAATTTGAACCCATAAAAAAATCATAAATGGAAATCGTATTCAAATCATAAATAAATCATAAAAAAAAATATTTGCCAAAAATGGCATCCTAAAGGATTTAAGAAGTCTGAAGATTAGTGTGAGGGCCCTCCCCCCCTCAAACAATTGGACTATGCTGAATAACTCGCAAGTTTTTGCGCCCCACCCCCCCAAAAAAAAAACGTATTTTTTAGGATAGTCAACTTAGGTAAGGGTTACAATTGTTTTCAATTTACTTTCATTTGATTTTCAAATGAAAACAAATGGGTAATGCTTCAATAAAGCAACGAATTATTTGGAAAACCTTGCGTTTAAAGTTTCAATTAACATGAATATTGTTTTCTAAAGTAAAAGGACCAACTTTACCCAAAGAATGGTGGAGAAAGGGTTTTGTTTTTTTTTCCACTCCCAAAAATTGGTGTGCACAATAGAGTACCACCCAAACAATTATATATTGACCCATCCCTTTAAAATTATTCCAGGGTATCAATTAGGTTACGTTTTTTTTAAATAATGTTCCTGGAATAATTTCTTCAAGGGGTAGGTATACGATTATGCATGTTGGAATCTTGAAAACCATGATCCCCCCCTTCAACATACCCCGGAATAATTCAAAGTTTTTGATTTTTTTATAACTTAAAACGTCCCAACACATCTTGAAACAGTCTAAACGTTCCTATTCCTGGCCTGGCCCTTCCAAAAACTATTCCTAGTTTGGCGGTGTTTGCTTGCTTTTTTTTTTGCAGGAAATGCAAACTGCAGTTTTTTGAGGCATCATGCAGTTTGGGCAATTGCTGCCAACATTTTTTGGCGCAGCGTACCTGCAAGACAACTTGTGTCCAACGGACCACCTTTCTCTCACGGTACTTTCTCGAGAGTTTTGGATGGCAATGAAGGGACTATGGAAGAAATAGGAGGAACATGCAAACTTAGGAAAGGGCCAGGTTGAGTGCCGTTTTTTTGGGTTTTCCCCAAGGGAGAAATTATTTTAGGGATACTGGAGATGCCTGGCACCCATGAAAAACCAAAGCTGCCATAACCACCAAACTAACCCAGAACTTGGCAAGACTTGTCAACAACCAATGAAAACCAAACATGTCCCCCTTGCCAACTCATTCCCACTGTGGCCAACTGCAAACCATTCAGATTGGTGCTCATGACTGTCAGCATGGCCAATGCGCAAGGATGACACACACACAAATCAGAGACTCATTTCAGTTTGCATGTTTGCATTCTCAGAAAAGAAATCAGTTTCATGCATGTCAAATGACATGGATTCACCTCAGGCCCGTGGTTCAGAGAAAAGGGGCGCCGTTGCACCCGTTGCACCCGTTGATTTTGCATGGTAGCGGAGCTTACCTGCTCCAGTTGCCTACCCGGTGCTGTTGGAACAATTTTCCTTGAGACCTTTGACAAGCTGCGCAGGTGGAAACTTTGTCTGGTGTGTGAGAAGTGGCTGCTACAACCCTGAAGATCCAACCAGCCCAAGTTTACCAGCCCAAATTTGAAGCTAGTAGCTTTGATTTTGGGCTGGTAGCAAAGTAGGCGTTTTAGTGCCAAACCAGCCTTAAATCAAGGCTGGTAACCGGCCTGAATTTGAGGCTGGTCACCAGCTTTGATTTGAGGCTGGTTTTGATATGAATATATTACCATATTATGCATATTTGATGACAAGAACAATGTGAAAACACAACATGTTTGCTTGTCATTCACGGAACAAAGGAGAATTATGCTGCTTGGCTCCTGCAGTTTTCAGAGGCTCAAGTGCAATATGTTGATCACTTCAGCTGTGAAGAGAAGCAAAGCTTCTGCCCCAAAGCCTGCATTGCCTGTAGCTGGCCATGGGCATGGTGGCCTGGAAAAGGCCAGTGTGAGCAGTGCTGCTGCAGTGTTGAGGGGTTGCTTCCCCAATGGTTTTCAAGAAATTTCTTGGAATGGCAGTGAAGAAGTGGTTGGGGAAACACAGAGCAAAGCTTTGCAAGCTTGGTTCCAACTTGATGCTGGAGGTGTGGAATGGCAAAGGAAAGCTTGGGGAGAAGCATTCCCTGGCCTGGGGAAGGCCACCATTGATGCAGTGTTGAAAAAAATTGCAAATGTCAAAACATTTGTGCTGAAAAAAGGTAAAAATTCTGTGACAGGGGAAAGGATGCAGCCCTGGGTGAAAGATTTGCTGCAAGTGTTTGGAGCAAAGAAGGCTAGCCCCGAGGCTGCTGCCCCCATGCTTGCTCCCAAACCTGCAAAGCCAACTCCTGCTCCCAAGGCACAGAGCACCAGACCTTGGACACAGAGAGCCAAGAACCTGCTACCCCACCACATGACTTTGGAGAGCATGCCACTGAAACCCAGTCTGTGGTGAGCATCCAAAGCTCTACCCCAGCACCCCCTGCTGTTTCCAGCCCAGTTGCTAGCCTGAAAGGATCACAGCAAGGCGCAGCTGCTAGCAGCAGTGGCCTGAAAAGGCCTGCATCCAAAATGAAAAAACCGGCATCCAAAGTGCAGAAGGTATCAGAAGCTTGGAAGCCAAGTCCCAGCTTTGGCTTTGTAAAAGCCACCAAAGCAACTGCCAAAAGCTACATTGTATCGAGGGAAAGCATGAAAAAGAATTATCACCTTTTGGTGAATGTCACAGCCCATGCCTCCCACAGCCACCACCAAGTGGTTGACAAGCTGATGGCCTTGGTGACTTCCCAAGGTGGCCTGAACAAGGCCAAGGTTAATGAGCAAAGGGGTGAGATCATTGCTGGCTTGCAATAAGCTGGCCTGAGAAAGGCCATAAACCGACAAAAAAAAATATTTTTGCTTCACGGCTGAAAAATATCTGTCTCAAAAGGGGTGGTGGCTATGGTATTGCATATTTTGAGCAGCTGCATGCCACAATCTAGAAAAATGTAATATTATATATATATATATTGTGGAAATGAGATTTTCAGTTTATGTTAGTTGGTTGCAACCAAGACGAACATATATATCATATGATATGATATGATATGATATGATATGATTGTGTTGCATACCCCCCCCCACCACCACAGAAACAAACATACCATAGCCAAGAATAACATTTCATTGCCAAACTCAAAATATTTGATGGCCACCCCAAATTTTGATCCATTTGTATACCCCAACCCATGACATGTTCCAAAGACATTTCCAAACCATTTCCCAAAGGTCCAAACTTTTAAAACATGGTTTAAAACACATATGTTTTCTGCAGCTGTTTTGAACTAGCTCAAGCTGAACTCACCCACCTGAGCTTGGACCTGATGGTTGGCCTGTGTAAGGCCTTTTTTGCCTTGCTGTTGCAGCTGGCCTGGGCAGAATGGGGGCCAGTCCAGGAATGGTATGGAAGGTTATGGAGGCAGCATGTGCCAACAGGATATTGGGCTGAGACCACTGAGGCTGGCTTGCTCATGCACAATGAGGACCATGACTGGTTGGAAGGATGGGGCTATGACCCACCACCACCAGTCCTGGTCCCCAACCCCTACAGCCAGCCAATGACACCACCAAGGACAAGGTTCAACAGCCCCAACAGGGTTGGTGCCCCAAGTGGGGTGGCCTGCAAAAGGCCAAGGCTTCCAAGCATCAATGAGAGGGATGACATTGGTTTTGGTGGTGGAAGGGCCAGCACAGACCCACCAAGACCACCTACACCACCCAGACCTAGCAGGTGTGGTGGTGGTGGTGGTGGTGGGGGCCCTGCTGCTCCTGACAGGCTCCCGGAAGCATTGGGGCAAGTGAGTGAAAAGCTCAACCAAGAGCAACCTGAGAAAAGGTATGAAAAAAAAGGCTTCAGGGCAGCCATCAGGAGGCAATTGAAAAAGCTGTGCAACAGGTACCAGCTGAGGTACCCACCATGGCTTGATGGCAATGACCTCACTGTAAAGCAATACAAGATGAGGGTGAGGTGGTTCATTGAGGATTTCATGTTGCAACAAGCACAGCATGCACAGCCACCACAGTCCCCTGATGGGGATGGCCTGGGAAAGGCCTCCACTCCACCCAATTCACCCAGGGATGGTAAGCCACAATCAGGAGGTTCTACTCCTACTGGTGCTGGCTCCCCCATTGAGAGTGAAGACGACAGCAGCAGCAGCAGCAGTAGCAGTGAGTCAAGTGGCAGACCTCCTTCAGCAGCTGCTGGAAGACCATGTGAGCCTGAACCTGCAGCTGGAGCAGCTGGAGATCCACCTTCAAGTGCTGCAGTCATTGGTCACATGATGGACAACCTTTTGGACAATATGGAGGTGCTGCACCCTGGTGTTAGGGAGGAAGTGCAGCAGACCATTTGTGCCCCTCATGAAGAGGGGTGGCCTGCAGAAGGCCCAGCCATTCCCAGCCCATCCTTGGGCACAGCTGGTCCTGCAAGAGACCCCAGGGAAGTGAAAAGTGAACCACCACAGAGCCCAAGACCCATGGATTGCGAAGCAGAGCCTGCAGCCTCTACAGTTGAAATTCCATGTGTGGAACCAGCTGAGCCTAACCCTGGAGCACCTGAACCAGTGGAAACCGCAACTGTGGCTACACCAGGTAGCTGGCCTGCACAAGGCCAAACTGAAAGCATGGATGGCAGCTGGAATGTCTTATCAGACATTGCCACTGAAGAAAGTGTGGAGATGGAGGATTGAGTTGACACTTCATGTGTTGGCCTGAAAAAGGCCATTGGTGCCAAAAGACTCTGAGACATGAGCTGGCTTTTGAAAAAGGTTGTGGGCAGCCAGAGCCAATGTGGTGGGTCTGTTTTTTACTCACACTAATTTTGGGGCATGTAGTTCCACATGGTTGCTTCTAAGTTTTGGTTAACCCACTGAAATTTTTAACAAATAATCAAATATGGGAAATGATGGTACCCCCAAGAAGGAATACCAGGATACTTGTGTTCGCATGAAAATATCATATGGAAATTTTCTTTTGGAACCAACCACATGGAAAGACCACATAGAAATTCCACATCAGAAAAAAACAAATGGTAAAACATGTGGAGACAGAACCCCCATGCAATCAAGATGATAAATTTGAACCTCTGAAATTCTGGGCCACCCAAAAAACATGTGAAAAGCCAAATGAAATTTCAAAAGTTCAAATTTGAACTTTTGAACTTTTGGGTTTCATTTAATCTAAAAGAGAAAATTCAAATTTTGAACTTTCAAAAGTTCAAATTTGAACTTTTGAACTTTGGGGTTTAATTTAAACTAAAAGGGAAAGTTCAAATTTTGAACTTTCAAAAGTTCAAATTTGAACTTTTGAACTTTTGGGTTTAATTTAAACTAAAAGGGAAAGTTCAAAATTTGAATTTTCAAAAGTTCAAATTTGAACTTTTGAGCCATGTTTTTTCCTGCAGCTTTTGATGCTCTAGTGAAAGCCAAACCTGCAGGACCATGGCTGCCCTATCCACACTGAAAAAGCCAGCCACCAAGAAGGCAGTGCAGGCAGCAGTCAAAGCTCAGGCAAAGACCCAACCATCGCCCACTAGAGCAAGCAGTGCCCAGGAGGGGTGGCCTGCACAAGGCCAAGCAGCCACCACAGAGCCCAAGGAAGGGTGGCCTGCAGAAGGCCAGGAAGGCACAGAGGCTGGTGCTGAAAGCCCACTAGTGAAGAAGGAGATTGTATCGCCCCAGAAACCACCCAGAAGCCAAGCCAAGGCAAAGGCAGTGAACTTGCCACCCATCCCCCAGAAAGAAACCAAGCAGATGAATTACAAGTTGAAAGCATTGGCTGCCAAAGGCGATAGTAGCTTGGCCAAGCAATTTGCAAGCTGCAAGACACAGCAGGAGAAGCGCGCTTTCTTCTACAATGTCTATGTCCTGGACCCAATGGTTTCCAACAAAAAAGTTGCCAAAAGAGACCTGGAGGAAGACAATGACATTGAGAACGAAGAGGAAGGCTGGTGGACTGCAGAAGTCATTGCAGAATGGAAAGGGATAAAGCCTGGCTGCTCAAACTATGAAGCCAAAGTTCAAGCTGCTGTGGAAAGCTTGACTGAGCGCGACCATGAGGACAAAGCTTTGGCCAAGCTGGGGGTGAAGCAATATGAGTACACCCACAGGTCAAAGAAGAAGGAAGTGAAGAAAAGGCGCATGCTGGAGTTGGAGGAAGGTGTGGAGGATGTCAGCCAAGAAGACTTCTCTGCAATGAGGGCAGCAATGCACAAGGGCATGGAGCAAAAGATGATCAGCAACAGCAGCAGCTCCAAGCCCACCAAGGGTGGCCTGGACAAGGCCAATGCTGCAGATGAAGCTGAGGTGGACCTGGACATCGATTGGTGCCAGAATTTGAAAGACCAATACAAGAAAAGCAAGTCCCAGATTGCCCAGGTTTCCTCAGAATTGCACACAGTGGAAGTGTACAAGGGCAAGGTCCAAGCCATGGCAAAATCAGAGATGCAATCAGCAGTGCTCAAGGGAATTGAAGGGATGGCCAAGGACCTCCTGGCCAGGAAGACAGCTTTGCTGGCTGAGCAACTGAAATTCCCAAAGCAGGTGGATGACCCTGCTGAAGCTGAAGTGAAGAGCAAGGAGATCAAAGCTTGGAATGACAAGGTGCAGGAGGAGTTGAAGAAGTTCAGGAAGGAGTTTGCCAAGCACAAGAAATTTGTAGGCGAATGAAGCATTGCTGCTTGAACAGCAGTGGCCTGGAAAAGGCCAATGGCTTGGCAGAGGCTATAGTGGGCACTGACCCCTTTGGCATTTGGAGCCTGGCAGATCCAATGTGGAAAATATTGTGCTTGCAGCTGCTGCTCTGCTGCCACACTTAATATTTTTTGGTTGGTTTTCACTGATTGTATCTGATTGCAGCCATTCTGGAGGTTCAAGTGCAGCCAGCAGAGCCATGAGATGCTTGACATGCTTGTGGATTTTCATGTCCTTCCATGTTGGCCTGCAGAAGGCCTTTGCTGGGAAGAGCTCTTCTTCCAAAAGGAAAAGAGACAGCTCTGAGTCAGAAGACTGGAATGCATTCAGCTTGAATTTGCATGCCAAGAATCTGTTGCCTGCTACAGTGGCTAAAAGAAATATTGAAAAGGGAAACAAGGCAGGAGCCAAAGGGTTAAAGTTCAGAGGGAAAAAAGGCAAAGCTAATGCTGCCAGGACAATGTTCAGGGCATACCCTAAAACAGCTTGGCCACAACTGTATTGGGCAAAACTCCCTATGAAGAATTTGAAGACTGATCAAATGGAAGAAAGGTGGCACCCTTTTTGCCTTCCCCATGAATGGTTAGCCATGTACATGCATGACAGGCAGGCCATTCTTGAGGCTCAGCCTGCTCCAGGCTCCAAGGTTGGGAAGGCCTTGGCAGAGATATGCAACAATCTCTTTGGGACCACTGGTTGGCCTGCAGAAGGCCTTGTCCCAATTGGCTTCCATGGGGATGGGGTGCCCATCCAAGGCACAATCAGGAAGGAAAGTTTAGATTTCATGACAATCAATTTACCTGGCAGCAAGCTTCACAGAGATTTGAGAGTTCCTTTCACAGTTCTGCAAACCAAGTTTCATTTCCAATACCAAACCAAGAAAGCAATTTTGGAAATCCTTCTTTGGTCATTGGACCACTTAAAAAATGGAATGTACCCCAGTTGTCGACATGATGGAACAGCATGGCTTACAACTGACAAAGCCAGATCAAGGCTGAGAGGGCAGCTGCCTGCAAGAGGAATCCTTGCAGAAATCAGGGGGGATTGGGATTGGCTCAACAGCTATTTCAACATACCTGTTTGGAACACTGCTTCAGGTATGTGTTGGCTTTGTGAAGCCAAATGGCCTGAAAGCAAGTCCCAAACTGCTGCTGCAAGAAGCAGTGGCCTGAGCAAGGCCAAGTTTACACAAAGAGTTTTGGATATGGGAAAGCAATTGTGCCCCTTGTGGGGGTGGCCAGAAATGGTTCCTTCTCTTTTGATTTTGCCTGATTGGCTTCATGTAGTCGATCAAGGCATAGGAGCAGACATTGCTGGCCAATTGCGCATTGACTTGAGTGCTTGCTACCCTGGCAGAAGCTTGAAACTCAGGGTGGCTGAGCTCTGGAAAGAGATCCAAATTTTGTATTCTGAACACAAGATTGAATACAAGCTCAGAGCATTGACCCCTGAAATTTTAAATAAAGGAAAGGGGAAACCAGCCAACTCAATCCCAACTTTGAAAGGCCCTGCTGCAGTGATTCGACATTTGATACCCCTCCTCCCAATTTTGACTGCAAAGCATTTCACTGCTGGAACAGAGCATCAAATTGCTTGTGACAAGCTGGCCAGGTTCTTGGCCCAAGCATATGCCAGCATGGAGGCCAATGACATCAAATACTTGCCGAAGCAAGGGGCCAAAGTGGCTGGCCAGTACATGGCCTTAGAAAATCATGCAATCAGGAATGACAGCACAGCATTCCACATCATGCCCAAAATACATTTGTTCCAGCACATTTGTGAATGTGGCTTCCCACCCAAAGAGTTTTGGACTTACCTAGATGAAACCACAGGGGGGCAGCTGGCCAAATTGTTTACAAGGAAAGGTGGCTGGGATAACCCTGGCAAGAATTGCCAAAACATGTTTTTGCGCTGGCAGCAAGTTACACCTTTTCCATCCTTGGCCCCCAGGGTGGCCTGAAAAAGGCCAAAGGAGTTCCATTTTCACTGACCATGCAGAGTTCTGAGTGAAAAAAGATTGCTGCAAAGTGTGTCAAGTGAGAATCATGTCTTTTGTATTATCTCTACAAGCCTCAAAACCAGGCTGGTAACCAGCCTTGTTTTGAGGCTGGTTACCAGCCTGGTTTTGAGGCTGGTTTCAGGCTATATGTTGAAAACCTTCACCAGCCTTGTTTTAAGGCTGCCAGCTTCAAATCTAGGCTGCCAGCCTAAGATTACCAGCCCTAAAACAAGGCTACTAGCTCCAAATCAAGGCTAGTAGCTTTGTTTTCGGGCTGGTAACAATCTTTGTTTTCAGGCTGGCAGCCTTGAAATCAGGCTGCAAGCTTAAATTTGGAGCTGGTTGGATCTTCAGGGAAGCAGGAACTGTGATTTTTTTTCATAAGCTGGATTTGCGTTGTGAGGTGGCAGGTGAATTTCGGGTTACAAAACATTTGAGTGACAGCTGCATTTGAGGGACGTGACATTTGCAATACAGTGATCTGGTGCTTTGGAATTTTTTTGGAGTTACTTTTTCTGGCTGTGCATTTGGAGACGTTTTCATTTGCAGTTAGTTAGAATCAAGGATGGCGCAGGTAGACCCTAATAGATTCCAAACTGCCGTACTGCAAGTGGCAGAGGCCACACAAGCAACTGCAACAGCAGCTAAAGCCGCTGCTGCTGCCAGTGCCTCCACGACAAGCTCACCGGGTGCCTCTACGGGTGTTGCCAAATCTTCTGTTGATTGGTCAAAACTGGTGAACAAGCGTGCAATCTGCGACCAGCCAAACCAGGAAGGAGCAGGATCAGAGGCATTTCAGAGACTGGCTGTGGCAACTTACGCAGTATTTGATGTGTGTTGATGAGGGCTTTGCAACAGAGCTTTCCTAGATTACAGATGATCCATCCAAACCGCTTGACATCAGCAGCGCATCAAGTGAGGTGCGCCAACGTGCTGCAAAACTGCATGGCTTACAGGCAGGACTTGTGAAGAACAGAGCACTGTCAATAGTGCGTGCTGCACCAGCTGGAGATGGGTTTGAAACACTACGGCAGATAACCCTTTCAATGCGTCCCAACACAAGCCAGGGGACTGGCTTTGCTATCAAGTGTTACAGTTTGGCCCGTGTTTGCAATGAACAAACCTCTTCAAGCGCAACTTCTACGACTGGAAGATGCCTATGAGGAAATTAGACGGGCAGGTTCTGCTTTGGGTGATGAAGTGAAAATTGCAATCCTGTTGGGATGTGCTACAGGAGTTTTGAAAACACACATCAGCTTCAATTTGAAAGAGAATTCCAAGTAAAATGAGGTGCGTGCAGAAGTTCTATCTTGGGACGGGGCGCATCAAAAGTGGTCCAATTTGGTTCAGCCGCAGGAAAACAGTGGAGGTGGAGCTGGGAACCATTCAGGTCCAGTTCACATGGAAATTGACAGGACCAAGGGCAAAAGTGGAAAGTCTGGAAAGGGAGCGTTTTCGAACAACGTTGCTGAGGGACCATGGAACCTGGTATGTCATGGAGCTGTGTGAGCCTCTGGATTCACTGATTGACTTTACTGCACCATTTTATGGACACACTGACAATCATAACCGACAGCGGAAAAAAAACAGTTTTGATGATGAACAACCTGCGTTGTTTGAAGAAACACATCACGATGTTGTCATTGATATTGCACCTGAAAATGAAGTGGTAGGTCAAGAGGTTGCAATTGAAGTTGCTGAGAGAGGTGGAGATGGCGCTGAAGTGCCATTAGCTGGAAGGATTGTGTTCAAACCAGCTCCCACCGATCAACTTTTGGTCAACGGTGTGGAGCTGATACTCCTCGCGGAAACCCCGCCACCACCCCCCGGCAACAGCCGCCTACCCCCATCCTAATTGTGGACTTTGGAGTGAGCACATCTGGAGACTGGCCAGTATAAAAACAGTCAGCCGACCCCAAAGCACAGTAAGGGGGACTCATTGGACCTCGCGCAGGAGAAAAAAAAACTTACAGTGGACAGCAGTTTGCGTGCGTTGAGGGCTGGATGCACTCACTACGGTTTGTCAACAACAGGTTCAAAGGTTGTTTGCATCAGAAGGTTGTGGAACCATCAGAAACAATTGGAGCTGCAAGTTGCCCATTCCTCTGCAGAGCAATCACAACGAAAGCTGAGCAGGGCACCAAGAGCTGTGACACTTCAGATTCTTCCAGATGAAACCACTCAGCAAGAGCATTTTTTACTCACATTCCATATCAACCGTGGTGTTCTTCATGCAGTGGTTTCAGAGCCAGAGCTGACCATCACAAGCACACTGGTGGAGCAAGGAGATCAGGACCTGCAACAATCAGTTTTGACTTTGCATACACAAAGAGGGTGCCAGAGTTCAATTAAGCCAAGGACATTGACGCTGTTGTGAGTTTGGTCATGATAGATTCATCCATTGGTTATGTTCATGCGACCCCATTGAAAAGCAAGAATCAGTGGGACCTCATGGTGAGAGAACTGTTAAATTTTGCAGGTTTGGTTGGGCACTCGGAGTTGGTTTACATGTGTGACAATGTGCCAACACTACGTCAGCTGCAGCGCATGGTTGTGAACGCGCGTTTGTCAATTGGCCTTCCAACGAGGGCCACAACCTCCCCTCCATATTCTCATGGGAACAGCCTTGTGGGAAACGCCATAGGCAGAATCGACCTTTAGCTGGAACACTCATGCATCATCTTAGTGAGAAGGTTGGTGTTGAATTTTCCACAAACAATCCTTGGTGGTCATGGGCGTTGAGGCATGCAACATGGTTGATGAATCGTTTCAATGCAAGTCATGACATTACGCCATGAACTTCTGCACAACAAGGACTGCCAAGGATCCATTTGCAATTTTGGTGAACCGGTGTTTGGCTATGGCAAAGTTTCTGGAAAAGGAAACCCACGCTGGACAAGAATGGTTTTCTTGGGCAAGGGTGACCCCCAAGACACGTAAATTTTGTACAATGGATCAGGCCTTTTGATCACACGCGGTATCAGGAAGGTTCAGACCAACTGGGGAGGCCATTTGCCATTCTATGTCAGCTTCAAGTGTTGGAGCTGGCAATACAAGGCAGGTTTTGGTGGACGTGTAATTTTAACAAGGAACCACCACATGCAGTTGGTGGCAGTTTCAAAAATTCTTGAGGGCCGCATAGAGCCAAGTGCGTTTTTCGATGAAGATGCAGAAGCTGTGCGTTTGAAACATTTGGAAGAACAGCGTGAAGAGACAGAAATCACAGAGATGGCATTGCATGACCAACCATTGCCCATTTCTGCTGGAATTGAGGTTCCGGAGGAGCCTACGACCACTGACAAACGAGTAGCATTTGCTCCTGAAGGTGGCATTGTCAACGACGATGAGCCAGCAGGTGAGTTTGTTCAGCATGTGCCTTCTGCTGGTGTTGCCCCTGGACCCTCTTCCTCTTCAGCTGTGCCAGTAAGAGATGTTGCAATTGATATTCCTCAGACTCCTGATGTTTTCACAGTTCTTCTACCAACACCACGCGCAGAACCAACAACACGATTGCATGATGTCGATACACAAGAAGATCATGAAACCAAACGTGCCAAAACTGAAAGCTTGAAGAAGCAGCGCGTTGAACGCATTGCTGCTCAACATGCTGCAATGATTCGAACTGTCAAGATTTCAAATGAAAGTTTTCATACCATGGATGGGTACAGCCAAGGCCTTCAGCTCGATGATCATTTGGAGGATGATGCTCGGCTTGGAGAAGAAGAAATCAAAGGCGATGGGATGCCTTCAGATCTTTGGAATTCTGGCAGTTTGGACCAACAACCAGCACAACCACCATCTTGGGTGGACAGATTGGCTGATGAAGTTGAGTTGAAGCGTTTATGTAAGATGGGAGTTTTGCCGGATGATGTGGCAAACATCCCACCAAAAGCCAATAGCCTCGCGACCAAATTTGTGTATGACTTGCGTATCAAGGAGCGTGCAAGGAGCGTGTCAACAATGATGGAACAACATCCAAACAATGGTTGCGCAGATCTCGACTAGTGGCCAGGGAGTTTGCATTCCTCGAGAAAAGAAGTGACACGTATGCGCCAGCAACCTCCACACACATCCTCAATCTACTTCCCATGATCTACCTCCAGAAGCTTACAGATCTTTCAGAGATTGGAGTTGACTCAACAACAACTGGTGTGGTTTTGCGAACAGTGGATGTCAAAGACGCATTCCTCATGGTTGAGCGACCTTCACCAGTCATGGTGACACTGATTGGGAAAACATACTGGGTGAAACGCAATTTGCCTGGCCAACGACTTGGCGCAGAGAGCTCGCGTTGGCACTTGCGTCAGTTTCTCATTGACAAGCTTGACATGATGTTGTGCGTTGAACAGCTGTGCATTGCAAAGAACGACAGGTGTTGCATTGTTGTTCATGTGGATGACATCTTGTTTTGTGGAGATGGACAGTATTGGCGTGAGACTTTCCTCAAAGAGTTTGCCAAGGAGTTCAAGATCAGACATTCAGAACTTCAGGGTGTGGGCAGTGAAATCATTTTTCTCAAAACAACCATCAAAAGCTTGAACAGTGGACTTGCGTTGATACCTGGTACAAGTGCTGGCAAGGTCATTGAACTTTCCGAGTTGCACTTTGGAAAAGCGCGCATGCAAACAATCCCATGCGACCAGCCCATCCAGGTCGAGG